GTCCAAGTCAGCAAGCGGGTTGGTAACGACAAGAGGATACTTACGTCCTGCAGTTGTTCCATGGAGGGCTCGTCTGCCTGGCGTCGGCAGAGCAGGTCTGGTCTGTGGCGGTAGCAAAACTTTGTGTTTGCAGTGGGTGGGCGCTCGTCTTGTCCGCCGCTATTGGCACCCAGCGGGTTGTATTGGTGTGGAATGTGCTGTGCGAGATATGGCGTGATCATCTTTTCAATCTTCTTGGACTTGTTTGCCTGGGCCTCTTCGGAGTCTTCGGGGTTGGCGTGCAAGTGCCTGGTCCGCTCTGAGAGGCCTTCGTGGTCGTGGCCGTGCATTAAAGCGGCGTGAGGGAGGACAGAGGGCTTTGCGGAGAAGTCGTCAGGAGAATGGGTTAGGTTTCGCCATGAGAGGCGTCTCTGCTTGGGACTTGTAGTCGAGGATTGCAGCGGACTATGTTCGGTGACTGTCTCAGTGGCATGGGTGGCATTGGGCGCCATGGTTGCGTGCTCGAGAGGCCAAAGGCTTTAAGCAGCTACAGCAAGTATCGGCTGGGGGGCTGCACTGTTGCTTCCCCTAGTGTTTGGACAAGGGCACTGGCCCTCTAGGATGCGCAATTCATACGTCGTGCAGGGGATGCAGCGAGCTGTCGAGATTCTGGGGTAATATCGCGTGCGAGCTAAGGTGGAGGTTTGATGATGACCCGGATGGATGCTGCCAGAAAGAGAGAGAGGCTCTGCGCACACAGAATGCGACGGATATGCGGGCGCAAGAACAGTGGATTCGTGTCGAAGTAGAGAGTAGCTTGCGAAAAGATAGTGTCGGCCAGCTGCGAAGGGGTGTAGTACGAGGCGGGCGTAGGGGTTTGATTGAAGGCGTCGTTGGGGAAAGCAGCGGCGAAGCGACCATGGCGCAATGGCGCAATGTCAGTTGTGGATAACATCTTCGAAGCACGCAATTCCACTTGGCCACCCGGGCCAGAAAGCATGGTCAGCACATGCCGGGGGGCCAGGCGGGTGCAGACATCCAAGTCCGAATGTCGCGCAGACTGTCCTCTCTGCTCTGCTCCGACGCTTCTCCATGCTGCTTGTGGGTTCTGTCGTCGCCGTCGCGTCAGCCTTAAGGTGGGCGGGCTATGCGGGCCTTGTGCATCTCTCCGCAATTGGACCCTGGTTGAGAGCTTGCCTTGTACTCCATACTAGCCCGAGCGTACCACGGTCATCATCCATCCTCGCTTCCATCTCTCTTCGGATGCCTCCCAGCCTGGTCATAATGTTTGGCGACAAAAAGCATCGCCGTGACCTTGTATTTGCCGTAGCCTGAAGACTGCCAGAAATGCCCTGCGCTTTCGCTTGATGACATCGCCATGGCTTCTCCCCAATCTCCCGCGTCTCCAACTAGCAGCGCCGCCTCGAGAGCATCCTTGGACCACGACAACAACCACTCCCTCACCCTCGAGCATCTCGTAACCCATTTTGTTGCTGCTAAGCGCGCATTAAACACCCAGACAGTCCTATGGCGTGCTACCGATATTGTCAGCACCGCACGCGAGCTGCTCGAGGAGAATGCCGTCCTCGCGGCCAAGAACACTTCGATCCGTAACATAGTAGAGCAACAGGTCGATGCCTTGGAAGCTGTGCGCCGCGGTATTGACGTAGTAGAGGCTGAAGTGCAGACTGAGTTCAAGCAGATACTACATCACGTCGACACATCCTTTGCCGGCCTCAACTCTACCCTTGCCGTCTTGCGCGAGACACCCATCGAAGCCGTTCTGCAGCCTCATGGAACCCCTCAGAAGCACCTCTACGACTTCATCGACAGCGCCACTGTCTCCAACCTCGAGAGCACCCTGCGCGCCTGCATAGACCGGTACAACGAGGCACATGCTACGCTCGACGAGAGCTGCGATGCCTTTGATACCTCGCTCGATAATCTCTACTCGTCCATCGACAATGTTCCCATGACGCCTGCCACCGTATCGACCCCGAGCCCAATACCGAGCCTATACCACAATCTCGAAGGACACGCCAAAGAGGCTGCTCAGGCCTTCCAGTCCCTGGTTCAGCACTATGATCTGTGCATTACAGCCTTGCGACACACCGAGGGTGGATCTGCTGCTGCCACACAAGCCACGGGCGATGCGCCGGTGCACTCTGCTGACGATGGAGCAGCACCTCCCGAGCCCATGAGCGAGGAAGAACGGCGCGACATGCTTAATGTCTTGCAAAAGGACGCCCGCCAAGTCGACGATGTGGTGGCTGAAATCCAAGAGCGAGGCTCGGAAATGACATTCCTGCTCAGCCAGATTGAGAACCATGTCAACCACCTCCGCAGCGAGGCGTCGGCTCTGTCAAGCATACTGCAAATGATATCACACATTACAAACGAGGTCAAACGGCACATTGCCACGTCGCGCGCCTTCCACGTCTCGTGGCTCCAAGACACTCGTCCCAACCTGCTCAACGGTATCGACGAATGGGAGAACCAACGGGAATTCTACGAACGGTTTGACCTGGCATATGCCGAGCTCCTGGTCGAGATATCATCGCGACGGAGACGGCATGAAAAGGCCAAGCGCAAGGCGGAAGAGGCGCAAAAAGAGCTGGATAAACTGCGTTTGGAAGATGAGCGCGCAAGAGAACAGTTTACCCTGGCTCAGGGAGATTTTCTGCCCCTCGATATATGGCCAGGGCTGAGAGATCCGCCAAGGCAGTACGAAGTCAGAGTGGTCCCTGTTGCGGTGGAAACCCAGGACGACAACGTACAGGGAGCGGATGAGTGGGGTGAGGGCGGTGGGATTCAGAGTATCCCGCAACTGGGCAGAAATGTCGTCGAGAGGGCGCTGATGAGGGTCAAGAGACGGATGTGAAGATGTAAAGCTTTATTCGTTGCAGCCTCAAGCATGCGGCTGCATAGATATCAAAATGCGCTAGTTATGGTCGCATAGAAATGTAAAACTCGTTAACACTCACGCTCTTTTTCATAACACCATACCATGCCAACCGCCGTCTTGTGCGCTCAACAAGAAAGAAAAGATAGCAGCAACTCCGGCCACTTTTCCATGGCTCTGACTCAACTAGCTCCAGTATAGTCGGGTTTGCGACCGTGGACAAAGTAGAATTTAATGTACATATGTACGTCCCTTCTCCTAACGTCGGATACGACACGGGCAATCATGACACGGCACTCCTCTTCGGTCCAGCCCGCTACTTTGCCCAAGAGGCCCAAGGTATAAGGCTCTACGCCCATGGACATGTGTTCACGCTGATAGCGGCCAATTTCCTTCATGCGCGGGTCCTTGGGCCAGGGGCCGAGTGGGATCTAAATTCGAAGTGTATTCAGCATCATGCACAATGGGGGAAGTGACCAAAGAAGAAGAAACAAACAACAGACAACTTACCTTGACAATCTTCTCGTGAACATCAACGAATCCCGCATTTAACATTTGCTGCTTGATGCCTATGCCTGCACGAATATCTCTCCCCCACGTAGCAGCGGCATCATGACACAGCGTCTGCCACTGCAAGAAATCCTTTGCCATGTCTATGGTACCATCATCGCAATCAGCCTGGGCTAGCGGCTCCTGGAACTCGACCCAGCCTCCCGGTTTAGTATGTGTAAACGTCTGGTGGACAAACTTATCCCAGTCAGAAATGGCACCCGACATGTTACGGCAGTGGATATAGTCAAAAGCCTCAGCGGGGCTATAGACCCACTGGGACTCTGCATCGTCAATGTAAAACTTGACGTTGGGCGGGACCCATGTTGGCTGGATGGGACTGAGGTCTGTCCCGATTACTTCGGCGCCGGGGAACTCGTCGGCAAAGTCAATGGCCCAGATGCCGGTTCCGGTGCCAATGTCGAGGACGCGCTGGGGCGAGGGTGAAATGGGGGCGTCGTAGAGCTTGCCTTGGAGGATGAGCAGGAACACGTGGTGCTGCAGGTCGAGCCGGTCTTGCTCTTGCTCGTCGTTGGGCAGGATGTAGGCGCCTGAGCGGTAGCCGTGGTAGCGGCGGCCATTTGTGTATTCGTAGTTGAGGATAGTCGAGGCGAGTGATGTGGAGGCGGAGGATTCGGCGTCAAATGCAGAGTCGTCGTCGCTGTTGGCGGCTGTGTCTACATCGAGGTGGAGGACTGGCTGGAGGTTACCGACATCGGCCTGTGGTGCTGTGGTGGCGGTGGTAGTAGTAGTAGTAGTGGCTGGTTGTTGCTGTTGTGGGGGCTGTGGTTGTGATGATGATGATGTTGCTGGTGGGGATGCCTGTTGCGGCCCGCTCGCGCTGGTGGGGGCAGCCGACATGTCGTGTATCCTCAGACCAGGTAGTAATAGTAGTATGATGTGCTGGACGACCGAACTTAATTCAACCCAAGTCTTGGACGGCGAGCGGCCTTATACGACCAACTAGACGCAGCGCGCCTAGGCCACAGCAAGGGGATCCGTCGTGCTATCCGCCGTGCCATGCGCCCGCATTTGGGATCCAACCACAGCCATGTTGCTGCTCACAATGTGTGGGAGGCGTGCATTGGCGTCTCGTGGCATCCAGGGCCATTGCTCCCTGCCCACCCCCCTGTCCAACCCACCGCCCGCTAATAACTACTTACTCCACCAACGCCGCTGCATCTCAGCTTTTAGCCTGCACAGGCTCCGTCTTACGATGCGGGGCGGTTGGCCACCCATTGATTATATGTATTCTTCTGTCCCTTCTTGTCTCACGCCGCAGGGCGTTTGGCCCACCCACCGATGATCCATATATCACTATCTGTCCCCTCTCGTCTTCCTCCTGCCAGAGTGAGCTTCCATCCGTCAGCTCACCCGTCTGAAAATGGACCCCATCCACCCCCCATGCATGCCGTGTACCCACTTGCCTGCTCTGCACGGTCATAGCCCCGTAGCACAGCGTACATAGGAGTCGTCAAAAAGACCCCAATATCCTGTCCTCTGCCCGTTCGTTCCTGTCCCGACACATGCTTCAACCTGGTTGTCCCTTGGCCCTAGCAGCCAGCCCGCCATGCCATCCCAGACTAACACAGACACCGAGCGAGTGCTCCCTTCGGTACCGCTCCTTTGCTTCGCTGGGTACCTTGTCTATTTGATCGCACGTGCCTTTTATCGCCTCCATCTCCATCCGCTGGCCAAGTTTCCCGGGCCTAAGATCGCGGCTGTCACGAGCTTCTACGAGGGCTACTACGAGATAGTTCTCAAAGGACAATACTCGAAGCAGATATCCAAACTCCACGACCAATACGGTACGCCGCGACTTTGGCCACCAACACTTGGCCTCCCCCGCATCGACTTGCTACATGCGACTGTCGTTGGTTCGCTTGACTAACCCGAGCCTGGCAGGTCCCATTATTAGAGTAACACCTGACGAGCTGCATATCCGAGACTCACGATTCTTCGACCACTTCTATCCCAAGAACGTCCATCTCGACAAGGAGGGATGGGACAAGCGATTTGGCGTCGCCGACGGTGTACTCGCCACGGTAAACGCCGAAGCACATAAGCGACGACGTGCCGCATTGGCCCCCATGTATGTCGTGCATATGTTCCTCGCTGGATAACATGACATGAATCTATTACTGAGGAGAACGTTCAACTGACACTTCTTTGTAGGTTCTCACGTCGTTCCATTATCGACTTTGTCCACATCATCTACCGCCATGTCGACACGCTTGCTCATCGCATGCAAGAGTTTGAGGAGCGTGCAGAGCCGCTCAACCTCACCCATGCCTTTCCCGCCCTGACTGGCGATATCATCATGGACTATTTTTTCGGCTTCAACTACAACCACCTCAAGAATCCTGAATTCGAATCCTTCCACGACGCCTTTACCAAGATTGCCGGCATGGGCCATCTCGCTACACAATTCCCCATGATTCTTCCTGTACGTCTCTATGTTTAGATTACTGATGATATCCATGTGGCAATCCCTTGTGGGACCCCCCGGTCCCCACTCACTGACGACACGACATGGCATACACTAACCAGGGCCCTTTACACAGATCATGGACGCTATCCCTGACTACATCACCGGGTGGCTGCAGCCCGCCGCAAAACCCATTCTAAAATTCCAGCAGGTACGCGGCACATACACATCCTTGTATCCCCCTAGCTCCTCGGAGACATCCCCCTTCCCCAATTCCCCGCTCCAGCAAACCTAGTCCAAGACCTTACATACATCCCCACACACACACACACACACACACACACACACGCACTAACTCCTCCGGGTGGTTAAACAGGACCACCGCGCCCTAATCGCCCGCACCCTCCGCGGCGAAGACCTCAAATCCAACGACGCCAAAAAAACAATCTTCCAAGAAATCCTCGACTCCAAACTACCCTCATCTGATAAATCCCACCGGCGCCTCGCCGAAGAAGCCCAAGTCATTCTTGGCGGCGGCGTCGAAACAACCGCTTTTTCACTCGCCGTAGCAACCTTCCACATCATCAACACACCACATATCTACCAGCGCCTCCATACCGATCTTGTCGCCGCATTTCCCAACAAGAACGATTTGGAGCTAAGCGTGCTGGAGAAAATGCCGTATCTCAAAGCCGTGGTTATGGAGGCGATACGCTTGTCGTACGGTCTTTCGGCCAGAAATCCAAGGACGCACAAGACTCCTCTGCATTATAAAGATTGGGTTATCCCCGCCAATACTTGTGTTGTACGTGCTCCTTTCTTCCTTCCCTCTTCCCAATCGCATGTCGGATTCTGGGATTTTTTCTGGAGAGGGGGGGGGGTTGTTTTTTTTGGATACTAATATGAAAAAATAGTCAATGACAATCTCCGATTCCTCCCACGATCCATCCATCTTCCCAGACTCCACCGCTTTCATCCCCGAGCGCTGGCTCGGCGATCCGCGTACCCCCGATGGCTTGCCCTTGGATCGCTTCATGGTATCCTTTGGTCGCGGCACGAGAGCGTGTCTGGGTGTTACGCTCGCGTGGACGGAGATGTATCTAGTCCTCGGCATGATGTTTCGCCGGTTCAAGTACGAATTGTTTGAGAGTAGTGTGAAAGAAGTCGAGGTCGGACATGATTTTTTTATTCCCATTACGAGTTTGGAGAGTAAGGGGTTAAGGGTTTTTGTTAAGAGTGTGGACTAGAGAGAGACGTTTGGGAGAGGGATACAGGGGATTGCCGTTATATATTCACCAAGTTAGCAGCGAGTTGCAATTGGATTGTTGACTGGAAAAACCGCAGGTTTTGGATGTGATTTCTTTTTTACACCAGGTCTTGCACTGAGTCCACATACCCTGTGGCTCAAAGACTTTTTACCAAGTGCCCTAAATGCGCTTGCCTAGATACTACGTTTGTCAGGTCTTACCTGACTCATCATGACTCTATCATCCACAGTAGGTGGACTGACTGCTCCATATTCTATGTGGAGATCAAGCCTCTAAATACGATTCCAACATTACACTATTTCCAAAGCTCGCCTGCATGCTTTCCTCATATCGTCCACAGAGTGTTAATCTGCTTTCTCCTCACCTACAAAACTCTGTTAGCAAACCGCCACCATCATGTATACACAGAAAAAGGATTACTCACCAAAGGTGCAACGAACAAGACACCAACAAACAATCCCACCACAGTCAACAACATGGAAATCTTGTTGAATCCCTTGCCGAGCACATCAAACGCAAAACTAGGCGCAACCCTTGTTCCGAAGATGTCGTGGCCATATGCAAACACCAGACTGGTACTTTCAAGTCCGCTTTCACTGGTGATAATCTCCTTGATTCCAATCACCTCGTACTTGTGGGTAAGGTGCCACTTGGGGTCAAAGTTGATAAGAGGTGCGTACTTGACTAGACCCTCGGATTGCTCTTGCGCAGTAGGGTCGCGACCAATAGGTCGGCGGGGATCGATGACTGAGCGAGGAATGCCGATGATGGAGTTGATGGAGGGGACGGTGACGAGGAGCTCGCGGCTAGTAATTCCCTGCTTGGTTTGTGTCACGGTCATGTGCGAGATTTCAGCTGGCACTTGGTAGCTTTGGGATACGACCCAAGGTCGCACAGCATCGCCGGGTGCATCCAAAGGCTGTACTGTCGACGAGTTGGAGAAGGCGCCAAGTGGACCTCTGTCGTCGGGGAGCGGGGACTCGTAAAGATCAGAGACAATAAGCTGGTGACCACGTGAAGCCGAATCCGAACCCGCATCAATGGTCAGCGCATATGTGAACCAATTCTCCGAGATGGTGGCCGGAATGGGCCGAGAAGTGTCGACGCCATTATGCGACACGGTATGCAACAACTGTCCCGAGGCAGAGTCGAGCAAGTAAACGGACGCAGACCGTGTCGAGTCAACAACTGTCGTGACCAAAACTAGGTTGGGGTTGAGGTATTTGTACAGCACCCTTCGGTCGCCGAGCACCTTACCGATAGAGGCAACGGGGTCTTTGACAGGTCGAGCGACATAGTTGACGATCCGCTCCTCCCCAGCAGGACGGAAGCTCCACACTGGCTCAGAGCTGGGCTGATTCTGTAGATAGCCTCTGAGTGTTCCATCTACAAACGTGAATGCTACAAGGGTTTGTCCCTCAGAGACCAACGGAGTTTCAAGCTTCACATTCGCAGGCGAAACAAGGCTACCTGTGGTAGAGTTGATGACCAATGACTTCTCGGACACAGCATCCTTGACTTGGACATAGCCGCTATGGGCCTTGAGGCGAGGATGTTGAAAGTCGTTGATAGGTGCGAGTTTGCCAAGATCAACATTCCACATAATCTTACCCCGCGAGCCAACATCAAGTGCAGCAAGACGTCCTGTATCAGTGGCAACAACAACGAGTTTGTGGAACCCAAATGTGTCTTGCTGGATTTCACCGATTGTCGTCTCTTTGGTCTGCCCAATGACGCTACCGAGGAGTCGCTGGGGTAGTCCCTGCACCCAAGCTGGAAAATGCTTCAAGTCTTGAATGTGTCTTTGTACGCGGTGCATGTAAGCCGAGACTAGGTTGCGATGACTTTCGTCTGCAAGCGCTTGCGCTAGGGCCTCTTGTTCAGGAAGGTCAGCCCATACCGCAGATACAGTCCGTGCGAGAAACTCTGGTCTTGTCCAAGCCAAGTCGTCATTTCGGAGAAGAGCCCACTGCCCGTTGGAATAGAGGACCGACGATCTGATAGCGCTTGCAGTGGCATCTCGTACGACAACCTCGGATTGCGCATGAACAGGGTGGGCACCGGCAAGTGCGGGCGAGCTCTTTACGCTCCAGCGGCCCAAGAGGTCGTTTGAGACGGATGAAAAGACCATCATTTCCTCTTCTGTGATTCTGGTAAAGTATACGTTTGCGTCTGAAGTGCTCGTGGAAAAGGTTCCCTTTATCTTGAGCTCTGGCAGGATATAGGCCTTGGAGACGGTGTTCTTCTTTAGGTCGACGTGGAACACCTCGGCCAGGTGACCAACGGCGGTTTGGTACTCGACGAGGAAGTGGGCGCGAGAGTTGACATGGCTAGGAGCGTGAAGCACGATGCTCTCTACGGCGACATTTTCTGGGGTCGGAAAGCTAGACACGGCCTTTGTGCCTATGATGTTCACCTTCAACACCTTGTTCGCCTTGTCGGTCCACACCAGCAGCGGGGCAGCAGTATTGGCTCCTGCAAACAGGATACGGTCACGGGAGGATATTTCGGCGTCGGAGTTTAGTGTGTACTGGTCGAGCTTCTTTCCTGTTATGGGGCTCAGCGAGGTGATTCGCAGCTTGGAGGCACCGAGCACAGGCGTGTGGAGGGCGATGTAGTAGATTGTGGTTGGCGAGGTCGAGAGCTGGAATGGCGTGTCTCCGCTGTCATTGAGTTAGTCGGTGTTTTTTTTGGGCACAAGACAATGGTATTGCCTACCTTGTATCCTCGTGTGTCCACTTGGCCTGCCCAGTCTTTCCATCAAGCCTCTTGACGCTGAGACCAGCGTCGGTGGCCAGCAGGACGAGAGGGTCTTTTGCTGCATCGATTGACATGCCATCCTCCTGCTCGAGTATCTCCAGATCTTCAACGCGGGCAGAGGGGGTGCTAGTCTCCCAGACGAGGCGGCCGTCGGAGGCACTCCATGCGACGACGCGTTGGCCGAGGGCGCTGATGACGGTGTCTTGCTCGTTGCCGGCACGCAGATGGGCGACACGGTCAGCGGCTGCGGGAAGGGAATGGCGCCATACTAGAGCACCGTCCTTTGGATTGATTGCGGCGACGGTGTTATTATCGGATAGCGAATAGAGCAGCGAGGCCTTTGAGCCAGGGTAGGGCTTTTGGAAGAAGGTGGCATCATGCTTGGGGAGGCCTAGCAGGGCGTAGTGGAAGTCAATGTGATGGGCTTCGTCCTCGAAGACAGCCGCGGCCGGGGCAAGGCATGCTGCGAGGGCGAGGGCAGCATGGAGACGCATTGTATGGTGGGGTAGCAGCGCAGCTGGTCGAGGTTGGGACCGCTGCGGTCAGCGTACGGGTACGATTTGGGCATCACGTGATCAGTGCGGAAAGCACGTGCGCAGGGGACTGCTCCGGATGCATCCATTCAATCAATCAATCAATCATTCACGGGTTGAGGATGGCAGTCAGTCAGTCGATCAGTAAGTCGGTCAGTCAGTCAGCAGCAGCGGCGGCGGCGGCAGGTAGCCCCTGTGGGTATTTGTCGTGCAGATGCCCGTGCTGGTGTTGGCGCTGGTCATGGTGGCAGCCAAAGTCAATTTGGAGGCGAGCATAGGGACCAGCGGGTGGAATGGCCTTGGGCGACTGTCGACTATGGTGCGAGTGGTGTAGTGTTGCGTCTGGGTTGGGCCTTGTCGGCTTCGACGCTAGAAGCGCATCCACGGCGTCAGGTCGATTGTTCCGGCGGCGGCGGCACCACGCGAGCTCCACCGCTATGGCTTCGGAGTCGCAGTCCGTGTTGGCACCAGGGGCCGGCACCGCCTTGGGTTCGCAGCCTCGCCAACCATGATTGCTTTGCTTGTGCCTGTGGATGTGGATATGGATGTGGGTTGTACATGTCCATGTGTGTGCGTGTATACATAACCATGTATCTACACATGCTCCCCACGCATACATACCGAGCATACACACACACACACATACAGAGACATAACAACCCAGCCGTTGCAACGGGCGCCGGCGTGTCAAGCCGTCGTGGCAGACCGGGGGTGGATGGGATGGGATGGGGGGAGGGGGGGCATCTTGGGTGTCTTGGGTGCTGAGTGTGGTCAATGGGGCAGCGAGTCAACTGCCCACGACGCTACCGTCAATCGGGGCGCCTGTGTCCCGCCAGGCCGGGTCGGTTTCGCGGCTGGCTGCTTGACGGCCACAGCTTTATCATGGTGATGGGATTGCTTTTGTCCTGCCCTTCCCCCTCGCCTCTCCCCAAACCCCAAACCGCCCAACCGCCGCTTCACTTATCACCACCCTTGATCCTCTCCCACCAAACCACACCAAACCAAACCAAACCACCCCCACCCCGCAGGCCCCCCAATACAACCTCGCCCCGGCCCTTTGTGTCTGTTCTGGCTGTTCCGCGGCCTGGACGGGCTGCACCCCAGAGCCGAGAGCGCACGGCAGCCTCGCTGGCAACCGACGCCGCCACGCACCACGTTATCCGCCATATCTTCTGCTAAGCCCTAGCCAGCCTGCTGCGTCTGCGTCTGCGTCTGCTTCTGCTGCATCCATGTCCCCTTGGTCCCTCCTTCCTAATCATCCTCGCTGTTCCCCAATTGTCGCTGCTGCTCCGTCCTGCCTATCCTGCTCTCTGCTGCTATCCTTATCCTGTCCGCTTCCCCCGTCCTGCACGTGACTTGCAGAGAAGCAAAAAAAAAAACTCTGTCCCCCCCCCATCCAGGCCCAGCCTCGCGCATTGCCCATGTGAGTTACACAAACTTTCCGGACCACCTGCATGCCGTCCAGTCGCCTCAATGGCTTGTTGACGCGAGTATTCGAGGCTGCTTTTGTCTGATTGGACGCCACCTGGGTTTAGCAATACATGCGCTGACAAGTGTGGTTGGCTCCCAGCCCAGTACAACGCGCACCGCCCCGACTCAGATCGCTGGTACACACCTACGCCGTGTCTGAGCAACGCGGCGCCTTTGACAAGCTCCTCCATCTGTGCCACACCACAACCCGCGCAGCACACCGCCACACAGGGTAACAAAGCTTGCCTCTCGCCGCTAAATCTCTTCCCCAACCTCGCGACAATCCCTCCAGCTCCTCTGAAGCATGTCGCAACGCGAGTACCACATAGTCGTCCTGGGTTCCGGTAAGCTAGCGAAAACGTGATCAGCAACTAGAACTCGACTGACGGCGGTGGCGCTCCAGGTGGAGTCGGAAAAAGCTGCCTAACAGGTACGTTCTTGCCTCAACTCTACCCCCTCAAACCCTGCCTGCCTGCCAGACATGCTGACCTGACTTCCCTACAGCCCAGTTTGTGCAAAATGTGTGGATAGAGAGCTATGATCCCACCATCGAGGACTCGTACCGAAAGGTCCTCGAAGTAGACGTGGGTACTCACAATCACTACTAGCCAGTTTTCTTCACTGACCCACTCTCCCCAGGGCCGTCATGTTATTCTCGAGATCTTGGACACCGCCGGCACAGAGCAGTTTAGTAAGTGATTACATATATAGCCCCACCTCACGTGGACCCAATACTAACACGGTAACAGCTGCCATGAGGTAGAGTTTCCTATTACCCCTACTGGGTAAACATCAAAACTTACACCGACGCAGAGAACTGTACATGAAAACTGGCCAGGGATTCCTTTTGGTCTTCAGCATCACATCAGAATCTTCCTTTTGGGAGCTTGCCGAGCTACGTGAGCAGATACGACGGATCAAGGAAGACAGTAACGTACCCATGGTTCTTATTGGCAACAAGTCGGACCTAGAAGACGACCGTGCTGTACCGCGCCCGCGAGCATTTGCCATATCGCGTGAATGGAACGTCCCATATTTCGAAACCAGTGCGCGAAGGAGAGCCAATGTCGACGAGGCCTTTGTCGACCTCTGCAGGCAAATCATCCGCAAAGACCAGACCGAACGAACGCGCATGGCCCCACCGGATTCCCCAAGGCCTGGTGGTCCCAGAAACAGAACCCACACGGGACGGCCAAAGCGCAAGGCTCACCGGCCCCATTGTACCATTCTTTAAAGCTACGATACCCAGTTGGCGGAAGCATGCACGAGCGACAGCGGGCTTGCTGGACCAGGCGCTGCCACGATTCCTTTCCTACCCTTCCTTCAGACTTTCTTGTATACACTTTTTTTTGGTACTATAGAGGCTTTAGACAAACTGCTCACAGTAGCAATTAATCTCATTCATCGAATCCATGGATCCCCCCGTGTGGCGTGACTGAGATGAGTCGACAGATGTGGGTGATGTGATATGGGACGTGAGAGTAGTAGTAGCCGAGGTCGTCGGCTTGGGCTCCAAAAGCAAAGGTTGGGATTGAATCCGGGGCTTGCGGGTTTGGAGTAAAGCAGCAGAGTGTCACAAGGCCACGTCGATCGGTGCAGTGATTGGAGGTATTTGAGCCCAGTTTTGCAGTCGGATGAATCAATATCGATGTTGTCCGAGCGTGCATGCGCCCCGCAGTTCGCACCATCCTTTGGCCGAGATGATAGACTGGATAGGGAATGGACGACAGAGTTTATCTGAGCCAGTCGGTTGAGAGGTGACATTCATCAGGCGGCAGGAAGACGACATGCGAAGCCAAGATATATGGCAGCATGATCCTAGGAGCCGATCCCAAGGAGTAGTGTCAATTTCCAGTATCAAAATGACATTGCCAACACATTGCCGCAAATTTTCAATCGAGATAAAGCGAGGGTTATTTGATCAAAGACTTTGGAAGAATCAAGTGTAATGGACACGACCGAGGCCCGTTGAACCCAAAAGGAGCAGAGAGGGTACAACTCGAAGCCCTGGATGAGCAAGCAGGTGTTGAAGCCCAAGGTTCAATCGAGGGATGTGGCGAGTGGGTATGCAATAAGCGTACTGTGGACACTCTTTACACAGAGGTAAGCTCTTGTGACGAAGATGAAACGGAGCCTTCATCCCCCGCCACTGAGCTCTGCCCAACCAAGTGCGGGACTACCGGAGAAGACGAAGCACCATCTAGCCCAAGGGTGATGAGGGGGCGACATGTTGCAGCAGGAAATGTAGAGGATAAAATCTTGGTCGAGTAGGTAAAAGGGGCAAGCAAAAGGCTGCTAGCCCCCATGGCGTTAGCAGGACGCACAAGGTGGCCTATACGATGGCGCAAACACGGCAAACTACAAGTGCTTCCCCCGCTTTACGAAGATGCCAGGTCACGCTGGGATGGGAAGGAAGCTAGTGGCGTCAATCACGCATGATTTGCACGATGCAACAAAGCTTGGCCGGGTGGCATTGCGGATGAAGATGCGTTTGCGTTGTATATATCCCGCAGACTAGTCAGACTCTGTATGTATGCAAGTATGTAAGCCGAAGAAGACGTAAAAGCGATCTCGATTAGGTCCGCAGATGACGTCGACAGATCTGAGGCTCCTGGGTTGGTCCCTTGTGGGTGCATTCGCAGGTCATTGCTTGTTTCAGGGAGCGTTTTCACATGCAAGCAGCAAAGGGGCCACAGTACGAGTAAAGGACGCGTCGGTGTCGGTCGGAAAGCAACGCCTTCTCAAGGTAGAGAGCGCCCTGCATACCAACAGCTACACGGCGTGCACCCACGGTAGCCGCATGCGTCTAGGAGGAGATTGACGAGCTGGGGGTCCGCGTGACAGGCAAGAATAGGTGGCCTCTTTGGGGCAGGCGATTGCGTGCTGGTTTGTGTTGCAGCGCAGCTGGCAGTGCAGTGTTTGATGCAGATGCAAAGCCGCGGCTGAATGCAGTGACGTCAGTAGAGGGGCAGCAGCGGGGCGCCAACCAGGTACACGGCAAATGCGCTAGCACGCACCACAAAACCCCCATGACGCGATTCGCATCAGATTCGACGATCTACAGTGGCATCTCACCAAATAAGCACCCCTCAACTGTTTTGCCATTTGCTCCCTTTGGGCTGTCTGCAGCCAGCGGGCCTCGCCCCCACTCGTGCACTGCCATGGTCTGGCCCTTCAGCTCCCACCGACGCTAGCCTCCCTCCCGCCTTCCCTCACCCACAATGCGCTTGCCCAGTGACGTAGCCTGGCCCCCCAAACCCAAACAAACATACGTCACTGCTTTGCTTCTCTCACTAGCCGCTTGCTCTCACCTACGCCTTCTTTGACTTAAATACCACCCTTACCCACCCTCCATCTATCCCTCATCACACTACAATCAACCTTGCAACACTCACATCTACTTCCTCACACTCAAACCAAACCCCCCCAACCAACCTTCCAATCAAAATGTCTGCTCCCAACGCCAACGCTCCCAACGAGGGCATCGTCGGCCAGGCCGTCAACTCTGTCAAGAACGCCGCCAACTACGTCTCTGAGAGCATCCAGGGCTCCACTGCTGAGGCCAACAAGGAGGCCAACAAGCAGCAGGCCAAGGGCAACGTCCCCGGACAGGACAGCATTGGCGACCGCATCTCTGGTGGACTCAACGCCGCCAGCGACAAGATCAATCAGGAGAAGCACGATGGCGCTGCCGAGGCCAACAAGCGATCCATCTAAGGTGTTTTGCTACTAGCTCGACATTTCACTTCGGTACGTTTTTTACTGCCATGGCGACTACTCCACTTCATGGGCCTACGCTAACACCAAGTGCAGATCCAGAACGATACCACTATGGGTTAAGCGATGAGCACTGCGTCTCTCGCTACTTTCACGATAATAGCATGACTTAATCGACACGAGATACCAATAAACTTCTGTCATCAATATTTCTGCTTACCTCTTACCTGTGCTTTGTGATTTTATGAAACTGTGAATGGTGTTTACTTTTTTTGTGTTTTTCCAACATGATTTCCTAATTGGGGTATGATTATACAAGCTGGTTTTCCGGTAAGTACATCCACCGATGTTGATAACATGTGCTTATGATCAGAGAAGCTGTCTTCTCTTTTTACACTACCTGTCTCACGAATAATTAAACAGATTATAGTCAAGCCTGTTGGGATCGCCTCCAGGAGGTGCGAACATCTTTGCAGTCCCTTGCGCCAAGTAAGCACTAAATTTTGTCCCTTGACCAATCACATTGCTCGACACCCAACTACACCTCACCCCAACCCAACGAAAATCACTATGAATAATATCTGGATATCCATCAACTTGAAGCAAACATTACGCAAATTGAAAGAAAGCATTTATAGATTCGATAAAATATCAAAATTATGCGAGGTAGAGGTGCACATGAAGTTGTATAACGCAAGAGCTATGGATTCTTCTACTACTACGTTTGTAGTATTATAAAGTACTAATAGCGTTGCTTCTAAGCAGCGACGGATAATTATTATTCCCCTATATCTTTAACTTGGCTTTCCATGGTGGTCCTATGGTGGAGAGGGGGATGATAACTTTATGAAACTCCTCAGCGTAGGTTCGGGTACATATTTCCTAGTATTTATATTTAGTTTTCTGTTTGTAGATGTATAACTTTGATCGCCTTGCCAAAAAAGAAAGAAAGAAAGGAACTTACCAATAGAAACGTGAAGAACATAAGTCATGTCTCCACGTTGAAAGTTCATAGCGTTGAGGCACAAGACTTCTCCCCAACCGTCCAATCCACCACCATTGACATTTTCATTCGGAGTCACATCGATGGCTGGCCTGTTTGCGGTGCGGGGAGCCGTCATGCGCAGTTCGGCGTGAGCACCGTACCAGCCGTACAGCTGCATTTCGACAATGGGACCTCCGCGCATTCCTGCAGCCCTCCATCGCCACCTGTGGCCTGGAGTTCCGGTTCCCTCGGTCCAAGGAACGAGTGTGATGTCGTTTGCGTTTTGGATGTTTGGCGTGATGTTGATATCGACTGGTGGGAGAGGCGCCGGAGGAGCCACTATGGCGGATGTGCCGCTGTAACAAGCTCCTCGTGGGATGAGATTGTTGATTGGCGTGCATTGGGCCAGAAAGGCCATGGTGGATAGAAGGATGAGAAAACGGTGAAAGATATGCATGGTGTTTGGGTTGGTTTGTCAGGGTGGAGCAATTGAAGTTTGTGAGTTTTGTTTGGTGAACAAGCTCTGCAGCAAAAGAGTCAGTGACAGTGACTCTTTTTTATACTGCTAGGCAAAGATAAGAAGGCTCGATCAATAGTAAATCAGAGTAAGAAACACTAAGACGGAAATTGCTTGCGGTTATGCGAGGCTCCACATCTGATGCTTTTCGTATTTCTCAGGTACCTTGGAGGACCAAAGTAATCCATAATAGGACGGATATGTGATCTCCATTTTGTCAGCTTTAGAGAACCTTGAAAAAAAAAGCTCCATCTGAACTTAAAATGGTACATATTATTTCCTAAAATGGTACAGATTGTTAACTCGAGCTGACCTAAGAATCGGTCCTTATCATATAAGTATTCATACTCGGGAGGATATGTAATTTCCGTTTCGTCAGCTTTGAAGTATCCCCAACAGGCTCTATCTAAACCTGAAATGTATAGATATTTACCTCAAGCTGACCTACAAATCGGTCCTTGTGTTTAGGGTTATACCCAGATAGACTTAGGTCCTCCTTTTGGCACCGACTTACTATGAGTACTTTCGTTGCTACTGACGTCACTTCTTACATTATCTTTCTGAAGACGGTGTGACTCTATCTCACATAATACAGAAAAAAATCTTTTATCGTGCGGTATTAAAAAATCTAAGCAAATGAAAAAGTGTACGGTAGTTCTCTCACAAGAAGAAGTGTGAGAAAGGTATAAAGCTTCGCCCGTTTTTGCTCCTTCTTCTAACATTCATCACGATATCTTCAACAGAATTGACCAAAAAAGCATACTACTACCATGTACTCCTTCATCCTTCTTACGGCTGCTCTCGCTATGCTGCCTTCGGTCCAGGCTGCCCCCAAAGGCGACGAAATACAATCTAGCTATTAGATTAAACTTAATTTTCAGGTAAGCAATGTTCAGATTGACGGCCGCTTCATCGACAGCGACCGCAGTCTCAAATATGACTGGCAGCTTACCCAGCAAAACTGTATCAACAACTACAAGGGTCTTGTAAGTGAAAGCTAAAAAAACTAAACAAAACTTTTAAAGTGTACTTGTTAACAATTCTTAATAGGCAAACTACGATAACGGCAAAGGCCGAGTAAGGAACATGAACTTTCCCAATTATTAAGAAATATTGCTAATCATATTGAAGTGCATCTCTATTAGCCCCGATGGGTTGAGTGGTAAAAACTGGTGGAACAATTGCGTCAAGCAAGCTGCTAATGGATGGTACGACGTTGATCCCGTAACCGGCAACGTTGTCGTCTCTCACGATCCTTACAAAAGTAACTGGGCCGAGGGTCGTGGATATGGGTATTCCGGTTAATTCCCCCCCAACTACGTTTTCCAGGCGGCCTTTTGGAAAATTAAGAATCCTCGGTGTGTTCGCCTTGGACCACCCTAAATTCTAATAGGCACCATCGTTTTGCTCTAGCTAAGTAGAGAGAGAGAGAGAGAGAGAGAGAGAGAAGAGAGAGAGTTATTATATAGATGGCTACGTAGCTTAGAAGCTTAGCTATCTAAAAAAAAAAAATATAACGTCTCTTATACCTTATATTTACCAAGTATATCCTCTAGATTCTAGACGTATAAGATAAAGGGTAGTGAAGTAGAACTTAGTATTCTCTGTAGCTATCTCGCTCGCGCTAAGCCAGAAAGCAAAAACGATGATCGACTAACCTCTCTACATCCTCCAAACCTAACCCCCCATCTTTCCTAGACACCAAAGTCCTTATTCTATTATTTACAGTGCCATTGCGAGTAGGCGGTTTGAAAGAGGAAGAGGTTAAGGTAAGTCAGGAGAGTACGAAGGGGGAGAAGAGGGTAAGTGCCCTACTCGTGATCGTCAAAGGCATTCCGCATGATGCGAGCGATGCTAGGAGCGAAGCCCTACTACAAGACGCTGAGTCGTTGGCTCGAGGCGTGCTGGAAAAGCAGGCAGTCACGGAGATCCCGCACATGGCCGCGTGGCGGAAAGCATAGTACAAGAGTTTTGGGGCTAAGCCAAAGAAAGAGCGGTGCTGTCTCGAGTCCCTGATGCGCCGTGCAGAGGGCGGGTTACCGCGCGTCAACCGGCTGACTGACATTTACAATGCGATTTCAGTCAAGTACCAGATTCCTTTTGGCGGGGAGGACTTGGACAAGTACAGCGGACTTCCATTGTTGATTCGGGCTACCGGCCAGGAAGCGTTCGAGACCTCTGCAGCTGGCGAGAAAATTTACAGAGCATCCGCCAGCTGGAGAGGTTGTGTGGTGTGACGAATGCAGGAGTGACCTGCCGTCGCTGGAACTGGCGCCAGTGCTCACGAACTGGTATAAGCGATTCGACAACTCGCGTTCTGTTTATTCTAGATGCACTGGAGCCTTGTGTGGCTAGCAATCTGGAAGCAGCAGCTGACGAGCTCGTGGCGACCTTGCGCGGCCTATCGCCAGATGTGCGCGCATCTCGCCGGCTCATTCGGCCTTGATAGATTGTATATGCAAACGCCATTCTCTCTTGCCTTGCAAGCCATCTTTTACATTTGTAAATACGAATAATACACATGAGATGAGAAGCTTTAAGCAACCTCCTCAACATAAGAAAGAAAGAAAAGACTTTTGTTAAGACTTTGAACTGCGCATGTGATTCCCAGCAAGCATTTGCTTGATATATTCATTCTCGATTGTGGGACCCGACAAATTGGTCTAGCGAACAGTGCTGCTGCTTTCTGATCTTCTATAGTACCGAAAGAAGCAAAACCTTGATTGATTTTCCACTTTAAACTACTTGTGTGCTTCGGCATCCTTTAACTCTCCTCTGGCCTTCACTAGGCTGGCCATCTCACTGCCGACCTCCGACTCTAATGCCAGAAAGCCTTTGACAACGCCTTCGCGGTCGCCCTTGGTACTCTCTTGGCTCATCTTGAACTTGCCTTCGAGCCGATCAATCTTGATTTCAATGCCAATAATGGCTTTCTGTAGCAACCCAATGTAACTTTCCGGCGCATCCCTCACTTTCCAGGCGTCTTGCCTGCCTTCCTTGCCGTCGAAACCCATGATGGATGCCTCGGCATGCTCGGACAGATCATGTATCTGTTTCGTCAGGAACGCGCCTGTTTCCGGGGCCTTTGAATCGAAGAATATTTTTGCTTTGCCGTAGACCTGTGCGGCTGCGTAGTTCCACGTCGGTACCACTTTGCCTGTGTCTGGCTTGGTCTCTGTGTAGAACTTGGGTGTTACGTAATGATGCGCTGCTGCTGTAAAGAGGACGAGAACTTCTTTTTCCAGAAAAGAGCCGTTGGGTTTGGACTCGGCCTCGAGGTTGTTAATCATTGTCTTGCTTTGTGGGTTGGCTCGAGCAAGATGGCCGCGAAGGGTGCCAAGCTCAGTCTCGTTATCTTCATCTTGTACATCTAGAATCCATGGAACATGGCTTGATAGGATGAAAGGATGATGCTCTGATGGGATGGCTGTGGTGAGAACACCCAGCGGATTATTGCGAATAAGCTTCCGCAAAGTCGTGATGGATGTTTCTGCATGAACGGCTCGGAGATACATGATTAAACGGCTGTTGGAAAACTGTACAGGAAATCGGGTATTGCTTCTTCCTGGTAGATGAGAGGGTAGCCTGGAGCTAGAAATATGAGTAATGTCTTGCGACTGATTGGACGCCAATCAGGACGCAATCGCCCACATCTCCGAGCTTGAATGTTTTTAACGATTTGCCTGGGAAGTACTGTCGCTCTCTATAGTGTGAACTCGTTGATCTGAATATCTTCAAGTCCCCTGTCCAACATGCTTTACATCTTTGCTCCACAGCTCCACGCCACCACTGGAGCACGTTACTCTTATGCATCTATACAAATCGCTCATTATTCAATCTCATACTTACCATTTATATCTAGCTAGAGTTTTATGTAGTTTGCTCAATCTTTTACTTAAGTTTAAGGCTCGTCTATCGTTGGGTAGAAGAAAGAGGCTATATGTAAAAGAAAACAAGCCTGTTCTCCCCCGTTACCGAAGCGAAATTTAAAAAAAGAGTGCGAAAGGGACTCATATTCTTTTAGTCTAAGAAAAGCTCCAAATGCCCATTCCAATGTATGCTCTAACTGTCACGAAGAATACGAGGCTTTCTATGAGAAAGTGCTTTGCCTCTGTGGGTGTGTGTATCGGGTTGAAGTTAGGGTGCATTATGTTTATAATAAGGAAAAGAGGAAGCTTTTTCTCTTAGACCAGAAGCTCGAGATGGAGTGTAGGTTTCCTCTAGCTATGACATTCATAGGGAATAACATCTTTTATGTAACACGGATTGAAAAAAAACGTATACCATTCCTCACAGCAACATCCAGAAGCTGAATAGCTACAACATCCTAGGGTCGTCCCTCCACACCAACATCCTGACCAATCTAAGCACTCATCACATAACTCACAGCAGACAGTAGAAGAAAACGAGGGGGGGTATCAAGTTCGATAAGGAAAAGCTAACAAAAAACAGGGGGTATTCCAACTCTAACAATAACGCCACTGGCTTCCAAAGCACTCAACCCCTCTCCCTTCCTTCCTCTTCCATCATAGGTATCTCCTCATTCTACATTTCATCCCAACATCTCTCAAAAAGTGCTTAGTGTGCTTAGGGAGTAGGCGATATAGGATCAGTGTAATACGAAGGCGGAGCCGGAGACGTCGAGCTGGCGTCTTCGGTATCCGGATTCGTAGAAAAAGAAAAAGAAGAAGAAGAACAAGATTCCGAGGACGGAGATAGGGGACGTGTGGTGGAGTTGTTGTGGTTGTTTGGGCAGCAAAAAGGACAGCAGGTGGTGGATATGGGGACTGTGACTGGGAGGAAACTGCGGGAGATGGGTCGGGCGCGGGGTGTCGTGTCGATGGTGGTCGTGGGGGTTGAGGTGTCGGTAACAGAGGACGACCTAGATGTTGTCGACTCGATTGAGGCGGTTGTTGGACCCCAAGCAACCGTCTTTGTCCCATCGCTCAACGGCGCATCTTCGATATCTCGGATGCGGAACGCTCGAACGCGCTGCTAACCGTGGAAAGAAGAAAAGTCAGTATAAAGGTCAAATCAAATCAACCCTTTGCCTCTCTGCCTTCCCCACACCCTCTACTTCTCAGAGAGCAACACGAGGGGGAGAGGAAAGGGGACACCTAGACGTGCTGCGGGGCCCGTCCGGTATGCGTCGTCCTTGCCTTCCTCGCCCTCCAAAACAATCCCGCACCCACAACCGCCGAGATAAACCAAAGCACCACATTCGTCAGCAGGACCCACACTCCGTTCTTCATCCTCTGCACGCCCTTATTTCCCTCCGCATCCTCCCCAATATACATATTCCCGAAAATTCCAAACGCCACAATGTAGCAAATAAACACCACTACGTCCGCTGCAAACAATAGCACCATGCGCCCCAAAAAGGGGATCATGAAGAGGAGGGAGACAAAGGCACCGAGGGCGCCGCAGAGGGTAGCCCAAACCCACTTGGAGTCGACGTATTTGCCTTGCTTGCGTGCGTTGTCGAGGTCGACGGCGTACATGCCGATGACGGTGAGACCCATGACGAATTGGAAGAGGCGAAGGATGAGGCGCAGGATCGTGGCTGGGGTAAAGGTGCTGCGCAGGGTGGTTCTAAAGGTGGCCTTTTCGCCCCGGAGAGTGCTATTCGAAAGGAATTTGAAGGCCATTTTTTTTTAATATAGTGAGACTGGGTGGAACATGTTAGCGTGGCTCAGATGGTAGGATGTAGGTGGAGAAGACTTACTTTTCGTTGTTATTGGGGGTTTTGGATGGTTGGGCTCAAGGCGAGTTTATATTTGTTAGGATTGCTGTGGTGGAGAAGGCGGGTGGTTGGATGCTCCTTCTAGGTGGTAAAGGTCGATGGGAGATACAGCGTTTTTACTTCCAATGACCAATTCACACCGCTGGCTTTCCTTTGTGATAGATGTGGGTATTCCTTTTTTCTTCTCTTTCTTTCTTTCACGCAACTACGCCCAAACAACGTAGTGGCTTTTTTCTTGTAGTACTGTTTGCGCGCTCTTCACAGAGTCAAACAGGATCGGTGATCGGGGGATGTTGCGACCAGATGTGGGGGGTGGGCGGGAGGGGGAAGGTTTAAACAAGGTAGCCCAGGCTATGACGTCGCTTATCGCTTGCCTTGGAGCGGGATGTTGTCTTTTGGGACCCTTTTTTGCCAGGGCCTGATGAGTTAGGCTATTTCCGTGCTATGATCTGCAGGGCGTGGGTGGGAGGATGGCTAAGTATCGGCGCCCACAAGGTTTGCAGGCAAGGGGGATCCTAGACAGGCTGACGGGATATTCAGGAGAAGGAAACGCTGTACCGACTATCAAAGTCGGCAGTTTGAGAAGAAGAAGGAATTATGAATTGTTAATACAGAGGGGAAAAGGATGAACAGACAGTCTCACAGCTATGAGTGCGTCCAAAGTCACAGATATAACAGTCACACCGGTCGCGACAATCATTTCTCTCTTGCAAACTCATTGTCAAGTGGCCCCCGTAGCATGCCACACGTCCCCACAACCATTCGTTGGCAGGCCGTTGCAGTGGACAGGACGGTGTGGCCACAGGACCCTGTTTTGTTGCACGGCGCTTGGAGAATGTATCGCTGACGTCGTTGGCGTCGGATTGGTGCTGTGTCTAGTGCAGGGGTAGCTTCTGCCATGATTGGCTGTCGACGCTCGAGATTCCGCCGAGCGAAACACAAATCGCAAAGTTTCGGATCTTTTGCTCGTTTCAGGAGCTGGGACTGCTGTGTGGAGCAGTGTGATGGACTTGCTCTAGAGTACCATATTGTGTTCTTCAATGTCTAGACCATCCAGACTGCTTACACCCAAGATCCCCTCTTCCAGAACGCACTTTTGCTGCACGTGCACTATGAGCTATTTCCGCGTCACACCCTTCTTGAATGATAGCCAAATTGACAAGAACTTTGATTATTGACTTTCAGCTAGCTGCGGTGTCCTCAAGGGCTAGAGTACTTGTAGCCATACTGCTCCTTGGCGGCCTTGATCTGTTCCTGAAGTTGCTGCTCCTTCTCCGCAAACTCCTTGTCATCCTTCAACCGCTGCAAGTACGCATCGTTGCCGAAGGTGCCCTTGCTCGGGATCGCAAGGCCCTTCTGCACTGCGGGTCGGGCAAGTATCCTGTCTAGCCATTTCTTCAAGTTGGGGAACATCTCAAGGTCGATGCCTGAGAAGCGCGCCATATGGCACCAACCGAAGCTAGCAATGTCCGCGATGCTGAATTTGTTACCTACTAGGTAATCGGTGTTGGCCAGGTGCGAATCGAGGATACCCAACAGGCGCTCTGTCTCGCCCGTGTAGCGTTGCATAGCGTACGGGATGCGCTCTTTGGCAAAGCGGTTGAAGTGGTTAGCCTGGCCTTGCATCGGACCAAGGCCGCCGTGCTGCCACGCCATCCATTGCTCAGCGCGCGAGATGTCGAGGGGGTCGCTGAAGCTAAACTTGTGCTCGGGGTCGTAGTGGCGCGTCAGATATGAAAGGATGGCTAACCCAAGTCATTAGCATCCTATTTACACGCTCCGTGTCTGCCATATTCGCCTAGCAGATACTTACCGAGGCCCTCTTGTACAGCAAAACCGCCTTGATCATGGTCCACAATGACTGGGATTCGGCCATTAGGACCTAGCTTAGTGAACCAAGGCTCCTTTTGTGTGTTCTTGCTGATGTTGATGCCCTGCCAAGTGTATTCCTTGCCGTAGGCCTCTTTGAGCTCTTCAAGCAGAATGCTAGCTTTCCAGCCATTGGGTGTGCCCTACAATTGGTTAGCGGTGAGGCTATGCTTGCGGTAACTGCACTACCATACCCAAGTGAGCAATTCAATGCCCTTGTTGGCGATTAGTCCCTTGGGTTGATCGTCCGCCATATCCGGTAGTATGCTCTGGAACGGTCTCGAGGTGTGGAAATGCGATATAGGAGTGAATTGCGATCGCTGTACACGTGAGGAAGCGCGAAGTGTATATCTCAATTGCGAGGGGAAGAGCTGGCGTAATAGTGACATGAAGAAAGGCTAAATGCAGCGCGTCGAAGAGGGGTTATATGCGTCTACATACATGCGGAAAGCTGCCGTTTTGCGAGGGGCATTGCTTAGGAATCCATGACGTCGCTTGCCCGCTACCGTTCGTGCGTATGTTTGAGGCAAGGAATAACTTCCAAAAGTGGATTGGAGCCCACAAAATTTACAAATCAACTTGTGGTTTACAACGTGAGGTTTCAAGCACACCCCCGAGCTGTAATGTCAGCATCAATTGTCTAAGTAAGCAGTTCGGTATTACAAACTCGGTCTGCTCTAACCCCGATTGTGAAGTGGGAGCACATGAACATTAACTCAGGCGCAAAAGCTTTGTCAAAAGTCGAGCTGAAACTGCTGGCCTTATTACACATGTTCTTCGGGCTTCCATCAGTCTCCTTGACGTGTGATTGGACGGCAACAATCAACAGATAGCACATATACTAGGATGATGTAATACACAGCTGTGTATTGCAGCTCCAACTGCAACTTCATGCACACGTGCTTACAAGTAACCAAATATTCAATATTTGATTTCAAACACATTATCTGCCCCGCACTACTTCGTCCGTCAAGACTGCCGGGTAGATGTCAATGCCTGGCTGGTTTTCTCCTACAACACACCTATAGCTCCACGTCTTACAAGCAGCTGCAAGTCCGAATCTAGACAGCCATGCAGTACCTCCAATGCAAGACTCCAACAATGACTTGTGGCTACGGTGTGGGCGTTTCTCTATCTTCTTTCTTCTTGTGCTTCACCGCGATATGTTCCAATTCTCGCACCATTGTCAGATATGCCATCCGGCTTGTGGCCACTGATATATGTGCATCCTTGACGATTGCGGTCGAGCAAGACTGGATGTCCCTTTTCCCATGCTCATGTCTCCTGTTATCATCTCCGTCGGCTGCGGTCTCCGCTGGCTTGTTGCGCTGCTTGCTGAGCAGCTTCGTGTCCCAACTCCTTCCGCAACCCCCCGAGCTTAGCCTCGACTTCTTCCTTCTTCTTTGCTTCTTTTTCCAGTTGCTTTTCCACCTCTGCTATCTTCGCCTTGAGGTCATTCAGCAGGGCCTGTTCTTGTTCCTGACTAAAAGGCACGTCGTCTGCACCCTTTTCTGGTAGTTGTGCGCTCCTCTCTCCATTCGGTAGCCCACGCTTTAGTCTTCCATTAGCGCCAAGGGATGCTTTCTTAGAGCCGCCCTTGCCAGGTGGTATGAGGTAGTTCCACTGGTCATCTGAGGTGAGGGCATCAAAGAGCGCTTCGGTGGGCTCGTTGAACTGCACAACTTCGAGGAATTCTGAACGCACGCAGCCTGTCCGTTCCTGCTCTGCTTGCATCTTCTCATCGCCATACTTCTCCAGCTGCAAAAAGTGTTGTCTGTATTGTGCCTTCTCTCCTGATATGGGCTGGAAGTGCAACCTTATGTCGATGTTGAAGCCTCCCCATCCCGTCTCGGTTACCTCGAACGGTGGTTTTTCGACCATGCGCAGTGGGTTTTCGTACGTGTTGAAGATCTTGAACGAAACCTTGTTGAGCCACGCTCGTATATCGGGGTCGCCATCGGGAACTCGTACATAGACGGTCCAGCGCTTCGTGTGGTCGTCGGGGACATTCTTGGGACGATCGGGGTGTCCTACCGGGGGCAATTGCCAGGCTTCTGAGCCGATTACTGAGAGTGTAAGTGTACGATTCTATGTTCGGGTTGGTCCGTAGCTTACTGAGATTTCTACTTATCCGTTTGTTCTGTTCGGGGTCATTATATAGCTTTTGGAGCAACGCGCAAGTTGCTTACCTTGACGCGCTTGTTCGACGCGGGAGCGGGCATTTGTTGCGCTGCGCGGCCTAATGCGCGCAGTTGGGAACGTCTGCGGAGTGTCTCCGCAGTCCAATATTATTATCGTAGAGGGAATGCGACAACAAGGCAGCGAGCGATTTAAGTTGTTGAGTGGATGGTGTGCAGGTGTGTAAATAAAGATCGAGCTGCAGGTACGTAGGATGGACGCTGCGAGAACCGGGCCAGCCCTATGCACGAGCCAGGATCATCGCGACAGCTCCACACGGAGTGGTAAAATCATCAACAATTATTGAATAGATAAAGGACAGTGCTAAAAGTTCTTGCTCGCTGAGTTGATGTTCATAAAACTAAATATTTTAATTGTGAAATATATGATCCTACCTAAGCAGTACAAGGAGTAGCTTAATTACTCAAGATGGAATTTTCTATGTGTCATACCTAGTGAGCGCAACCAATGTGATCTCCACAACAAAGACAACATTTCGCCCCAATGTATCGCTAACGTGATAGTTGACGTGAACGAATCTCAAGGCAAGATTTCAGTGGAGACTGAGTGCTCCATGGTTGGAAAATGGGCCGAAAGGCCAACAACACCTATGTGGCTATATAGGCATGCCATACCAGTAAGTAGCAGCTTGTGATGTCATTAATGCTGCGGTCATCATGTCAAACGGGAGCTCTCACGCCTCCTGCAGCGTAGAAGACACTTTCCCAATCATCTGTCTGTCTTGGTAGATTCTAGGCGGATAACCTACTCAGGATCACCCTTGCCATACTGATCGAGAATCACAATATCAAAATGCTAGGAGATGTCACGGGAATAGAGGCGAGATACAAAGTGGTTGAATTTGGAAATATTGTGATAGAGCTACGAGACAAACCACTTATGATTAGGAGGAGACGAAAGGAGACCTGAAAGAAAAAAACGTGTTCTTGGTAAATGACCCTAGGATGACTAGGTACACTATTGACCCTTCTCCGTTTAAGCATTTTATAGGTAAATTGATTGTTAGATAGGCAATCGCTGGCGAATTCCCGCTGCAGTATGGTTTTAGCATGTATCACGTGACCAGCCATTAGTACAGTTAAAACAACTGAGATGTCATGCTTCGCAATCTACAGGAAAGAGGAATTAAAAGCACAAGTAATCTGGAAGAAGAAAGTCGTACATCCTCACACAAAACAACGGGTCTCTCGGACGCAGCGGTTATCTCACTTCCCACCTTCACCTCCCTTTGTATCTCTCGTCCTCTGATTATACAATTTGTCCTGTTTTCCAGCATTTGGCTTTCCTTCAATTCTATCCAGCGAATCCTCAATCAGTCCAACATGCCCACGTATCGTCCCCTCGATCTCGTCAAGCCTTGCCTCCTGCTCTTCCTCCATGCGGTCTAATTTCTTTTCAACTCTAGATCCTAGGGCACTCTTTTAGTATCTGAACAGCAGGTCTAAGGTTTATGAACGCAATGCTGTGTTACCTAGCAGTGTCGCGACGCCAGCTACCACCGCGAGGTTAGTACTGACGAGGACGAGATCGTTTTTGAACAAGTTGCGTAATGCCATCATTCTTTCGTTACAAATGGAAACAGAGCAGTGGATGTGATGTAGTAAATGAAACGCAAAGAAGCCATTTAGGATCTTAAATGCGCTGGAAGCTATTGAAGAGGGTGCTTTTGGCACTAGTATCACAAGATCATGACGACACGAATTGTGGTACGTGAAAGACCATGATAAAACGCGGTGGCCATTATGTCCATCGAAAATTAAACACCCTACTCAACAAGTCTCTATGGATAAGAAATTGTTTTAGTCTTCAAGTATGTAAAGCAATACCAACGTAGACGCGTCCACCCGCAGGTCGCGGAGGTCCCCAGCACCTCCGCACACCCCTGCTCAGCCCTACGCGACTCACGCGAACCCGAGTGACATCAGCACTAGAAGCTTCCGATCACGCATCTCCACCACAAACACCAACGCTTCCAGACCTTCAGACTTCCACAATACGAAGCTACTCTTCACCAACCGCCAATTTTATACAGTTCATAACCCTGCGTAATTCGGCGTGAAGTACGATTGCACCAATGGCTTCCACAGCAGCAGCAAAAAGAAAGCTCGTCGTGTGTGGTGGTAACGGATTCTTAGGTGCGCAATTGACCAGCAATCCCCAATTATTTACTTCCCACAAAGTATACAGCAAAATCTTCCAACGACAAACTAACACATCGATACAGGAAGTCGAATATGCAAAGCCGCCGCCCACAGAGGCTGGTCCGTAACCTCGATATCGTAACCACCCCCTCTCCCCCAAATCCACATTCCCCCTTCCACATATCCCTAACCTTCCCCAGCCGCTCCGGCATCCCCCACTGGTCCTCTGTCTCTTCCTCTCCGAACCCCCCGGACTGGGCCGAAAAGATCTCATGGCAAAAAGGCGACATACTGGACCCAGCATCGTACACGCAGCACCTCGAAGGCGCAGACGCCGTCATACACAGCATGGGCATCCTGCTCGAAGCCGACTACAAAGGTGTCATCAGCGGCCGCGAGAGCCCGATAAAAGGACTGCAACGAGCCTTTAGCCGTACAAAGGCTGGAACACAGAATCCGCTAGCACGAAAACAGGGCGAGAAGTTGGAGCCGCAGGAGAAGGATGGGCAGTTGACGTATGAAGTTATGAACAGAGATACAGGTAAGCGAGATTCTGAGGTTCTTTTTTGAAAGTCTACAATGCTTTTATTTTGTGGTATATATGAGAAATCAACTAAGATGACAACAAAAAACAGCTGTCTCCCTAGCTCAAGAAGCATCGACACGCAAAGTACCGAATTTCGTTTACATTTCTGCGGCCGCTGGTACACCGATTCTGCCTGCACGCTACATCACTACGAAACGCGAGGCCGAGTCTCTGATTTCCACAACATTCCCCACTATGCGATCGATTTTCATTCGGGCGCCCTTCATGTACGATAGCAGTCGGACTTTTACGCTTCCTATTGCGGCGGCTGGTGGTGTCGCAAGCATGATCAACAGCGCAGTCGGAGGTCGATTGACGTGGTTGATGGGTGCAGGGGGTATAAAGCCTTTGAAAGCCGATCTTGTTGGTGAAGCAGTGGTAGAGGCGTTGGAGGATGATGACGTTCGTGGTCCAGTCGAAGTACCGGATATTGAGAGATTGGGCACACGCGCGTGGAGGAAGAACATGTTGTAGAGAAGACTTGGCTTCTATGAGAAAATGCGGACATGGTGAACTGTACGACCTCTGAAGCTAGACAGTCTCTTTTTGGTGCGCAACATTCGCAACGTTGAAATGCGTCAAAATATAACGCCGTAAGCCCTTTCAAGTGCGACTCAAACTCACTTCTTCCGGCTGCCAGAGCTTACAAGCTTCTTCTTCATATGCTTGGGCATCTTTTCTTTCCGCTTCTCACGCTTCTCTTCTTTAATGGCCTTCTTATGCGCTACCTTCTCATCGTGATCAAGATGCTTCTTGCCACGGCTGGGGCCCTTTTCAAAGATACTTTGATCAACCTCAGACGTGTCTGAGCTTCCATCGTCTGTCTCAGCATCCGTATGCGACCCATCAGATGCGTTATTGACGACCTTATCGGCCAGAAGAGCCTGGTACGGCAGATCGGAACCAGCGCCGGCGTTGACCAGCTCAGCATCACGCTCAATGTCGTAGACCTGGTCGAGGGTCTGTGGGATGTACTGGTTGCGGAAAACCTCATCATCCTCGTCTTCCTTTTTCTTTTCTTCCTCAGTCAAAGGTCGTGTGTTGAGCAGTTCGCGGATTGTGTCTTCAATCTTTGATACCTCCTTCATATCTTTTGCGCCCGATGCACCGGTAACAAATGCGTATGCTTTGCGCTCACTGAGAGTCTCGACGTTGCGTGACCGGAAGAAATCAGACAAGTTCTTCAGGTCCATGCGTAGAAACTCGAGGGAGCGTGGGTGATCGTGCTCAACGGCTTGCGACACGTCAATCATCCACTGCTTGCCCTCGTGGTACAGGATATTGTACTCGCTCAGATCGGCGTGAACAAGGCGACATGTCTGGTAGAGTATACGGACATAGGCCATCATTTGGACATACAAGCTGGTCCACTTCGCATCTTCCTCCTCGGCGGTCAAGCCCTCGAAGCGTACGTCTTTTAGTCGTGGTGCGGCCTTGCCCTTTCGGTCACCTACGAAGCCCATGACCAGAACGTGGTTCCGTAGCGCATATGCCTCGGGTGAGGGAATACCCGCATCATGTATTCTGGCCAAATTTCTGCGCTCCTTGTCTGCCCACATTCTCACCATGGCGCGGTTGTTGCTCTTATTGTATCCTTGTCTGAACCTAAACTCACCCTCGACATACTTTGCGCGATCCTTGAAGACAAGAATGGAGGTCTTATAGACCTTTACAGCGCGATGGACAGGGGGCGCGCCATCCTCCGACGGCTCTGACATGGCATGGTAGACGTTTGCTTCTTTGCCGGTGGAAATGACACCGTGAAGTTCGGAAATGACGCCGCGGTTGATCAGTTGCAACAGGATCATTTGCGTCCTTCGATCCAACACCTGCTCAGTCGTGGCGCGATCTGCCTTGTCCTTGTCCCTTGCATTGCCACCAGATGCTCCCGTCATTCGCCCAGTAAGCCGGATTTTGCTTGCATGCTTCGCGAGTGAGGCAACCTGATCATCGATGGAAGCGTTTGTATTTGCTGACGGCTTTTGAGGGTTCGTCTTGGGTTTGTGGTCGTCTGGTATGTTGGCATCATTCAGTTTTCGCTGGCGATTGTAGGCCTTTGTGAAGTCGCCATGGTCGCCTGAAATTAATTCTGGCACAATTTCATCGTCATCGTCGAACAAGTCGTCAATATCGTCGTCTTCGTTTTGCTCGTCTGCATGGTGCTCTTCTACGCTCTGAACTGGTTGCGCTTGCTGTTCTGACAGCTCGACTCCGTTTGTGGCGGCCATGGCTGAAAATTGCACAAAAGTGTGTGTGAGAGTGTACAGAAATTAATATTCGCCGCCCTGCGTCACTAGCAATAATTGTTGTCGGCAGAATAGCGGGGTGGCCGCGGGGCTAAAGCGGTCAGCGCCACAATCAATCCAGTACTTTCGTTCGCATAGCATTGCCACATGACTGCATCACTATGCGAAACAAGAAGCCTTGTGGGGTTCTCAAGGCTCCGACTAGGCATGTGCTATTGTTAGTTGTAGAGAGTTAGGTAAACATCGAATCGTGTGCTGTCAGTCTATCGGCAGATGAAACCAAGTATGTCATCCGCAGTGCGACGAGTGGCGACGCTATCTGCAACACTGATACTAACCACATGATATGGAACAAAAGCGCAAAGAAAAATCACAGAAACATACCATAACGAATGTTTCCTAAAAGTTACCCGCCAAACTGGATATGCTAATTTCCCGGGTTCATGGTTGTTTGTACTACGTATGTATATACTTAGAGTTTCCAAGTACAAGCTAGATCGTCAGTAAGAAGAGAGGCTCGTGGCTACATGCACGACCAATAGAATTCCGGATCTAGAGGCCGAGGCAAGTAACAAAAGGCAGAGGCAAATATACTACTCTATCTCGCGTACGTACAAAGCCGTGAGAGAAGGGCCTAATCATGCACATTGGGTAATGATTGGGTAATAACAGTTCGATACGGATAGACAAAGTACGTGGCACCCAAGCATCTATTATTGTAGAAATTCTCTTGCAAAACAAGGCCTCCTGGGATCGGATTATGCGTAGTCTAATTTAATCTCACAACGGCTGCGCGATGCTGCAAGTAAGCCTGGGCAAATATAGCGTTTAAAGCCGTTTGATGCTCCATGTGGTAATGCCCTAGCTTCATACGGTCACACGTGTACTTACGCAACTCAGGTATGTCGAGCACACCACACCTGCCTCACCACAGTAAGATGACAGGTCCAAACAACCTTTGCGAACCACTGGCCTCGCCACAGAAACAAGCTTGCACACGTACTCTATACCGGTCTAAAGTGTCCAGGGATGCTGGCATACATAGCCGCTCAACACCATCAGCAGATTGACATAGCCACACATCTTGGCAACGGCGGGCGGCTCTTTTGGCAACGCAACAGCCAACACCCAAGCGCTAGGGCTGCCTATCCGAAAATCTTCCCTTACAAACAAAGAAGCGATCTTCAGGGCAGCTGATCACTGCGTCACCCATTCAGAGGGGTAGGGAGGTATGATCTCATAACCAAGATGATCGCGCACGAAGGGAAGAGCGGATGCGCGTCGTTTAGCATGACACTCCGAGGAGCAAATGTGGCGCAGTTTGTGTCTGTTGTGCACACGGTCAGACGAGATGCATCCACGGCGCAGCATTATACTACGTGCATCCAGATGCACATTCTCGAAGGAAGGAAGGAAAATCCGGTTCAGCTTCCGTGGCCCCTCGCCTCCCAATCTCCACCGCACCGCCGCATCGCTTGCCACGCCGTCGGTCGCACGCGTATAGTTGTGCCAGAGGACAAAAGACTGGTAGCGGAAAGGAGTAAGGTGGCCTAGAGGCAGAAACATTAGCCAGGTACATCTGAAGTCCGATAGGCTGAGCCGGAGATGCCGCTACGACTGCGGCGGGTGGTTGGCACTTCTGACACAGCCTAGTATCCACCCCACGGCTCGTGAAACACATCAGGAGTGCGGCTCAGGGTCACGCCTGGCCACTCAGATCTACACAGCGATGAATCGGGAGACTGCATGAATGGGTGCCAGTGGCTGCATGGCCTGACTGGCTGACGACTAATGCCTGGGCAAGGGGATTGCGTCGTGTACAATCTCGCGACTTTTATGGTCGGATCTTCCTCCATGCTGTTTGTCTTTCTTACAATTCTCTTCCCTTGTCTTTTCTTCGTGCGCCATTCTTCGACCTGTTTTTTTGGTCATTCACACATTCTCTTCAACCGCTTTCCTTTGGACGCAGGGCGACCTTGCTCAAACTCTCCTTTCTTGCCTTTCAAGTGATTCTTCTGTGAAGATCACGTTCGCTGCGAAACCCCAACGCCTTACATTCTTTACCGAAAACCCGATATTCCAAATCTCTATCTATATCAGAAATGCGCTTCTCAACTTACTCCACCGCGAGCGTGTTGGCCGCTTTGGCCTCTGCTCAAACCTTCACGGACTGCAACCCTATGGAAAAGACTTGCCCCAACGACCCTGCCATGCCTCAGACCTGGGAGACCGACTTCACTGCTGGCAAGGATGCTATCAAGGGCTGGAAGCAGACTGCAGGTGACCTTACCTATGGGCCTGAGGGAGCCGAGTTTACCGTGGCCAAGAAGGGCGATGCGCCCACTATTGGCTCTGAAGGATATCTACATTTCGGTTACGTCGAGGTTGTCATGAAGGCCGCTCCTGGCACCGGCATCGTTTCATCTATCGTTCTCCAGTCCAACGACTTGGATGAGGTCGACTGGGAATGGATTGGAGGCGTCGACAGCCGTGTGCAGATGAACTACTTTGGCAAGGTAAATTTATCCCAACGAAATGCAACTGAAACTATGCATGTTGCAGAAAAAGAAAAAGAAAAAACTAACAAAACCACCAGGGTAACACAACGACCTACGACCGCATGATCGAAGCCGATGTGGCCAACAACCAGAAAGAGTTCCACAAATACGCTCTAAACTGGACCTCATCAGCCCTAACCTGGATCATCGACGACAAGCCCATCCGCACCCTCAACTTCGCCGACGCAAACGGCGGCAAGAACTTCCCCCAAACCCCCTGCAACGTCCGCCTCGGCAACTGGCCCGGCGGCGACTCCAAAGATGAAGGAACCCGCCAATGGGCCGGCGGCAATGTCACCTACGAGAACGCCCCCTTCACCATGACGGTCAAGAGCGTTAAAGTTATCAACTACTCTCCCGGCAAAGAGTACGAATGGACCGATAAAACCGGTAGCTTCCAATCCATCAAGGTCCTCGACGCCGGCAACAAAGACGGCGCCCCCATCAACGCCACCCCCATCACCAAGCCCGTAAACGGCACTCAGCCCCCCCTTGAAGCCGGCGTCGACGCCCCCGCTGCGAGCGGCGAGGCAGGCTCAGGCAGCGGCGCAGACAAAGAAGAGCCATGCGACTGCGGAACTGCATACGTAACCGTCACCGCACCTCCTCCTGGTGCCTCTGCCCCTCCTGCTACCACCGCGCCCCCAGCCACCATCACCTCGACCTTCGACGCCGTACCCATCGAGAGCGCAAAGAGCATGTTGTCCTCTGTCCTTCGCGCTTCTTCATCTGCTCGCCTCGCGATTGATACTAGGTCTGCGCCTGGTGTACCCATGCCTACAGCCCCCACTGGTGCGATCCCGCTGCCTCAGACTAATGGCACTGGAACGGCGGTTGCGCCCCCGCAGTTTACGGGTTCGGCGAATAAGATTGCTGCTGGGGGTTTGGTTGGTGCGATTGTCGGGGCTGTGGTGATGGTGTTGTAAATTTTCAAGGGATGAGACCAGGAGGAGGGTTACATGTGAGATATGGTTGATGTAGAACAAGTTTTTTTTTTGGATATATATAGAAAGAGAGAAGAACTTACGCTCGTTTATTTTATTTACCTTATTTTGTAAATACTTAATTTCGATGAACGGCCCTTTTTAAGGACTGGCTTTTTGCACAAAGGTTTTGATTGATTCTTTTCTACTTGTTCTTTTCTTTTTGAAGCGTCTTTTGGGGAGTTGAGATGTGGGGTGCATGATGCGTCTTCTGACTGCTGTGTAGTGAGTCTACGAATGAACAAGTGTATAGCACCCCTGAGTTGCCATGGATTGAGTTGGGGGAGAAACCAACAAGTTGCATCCCCCCACGGTTTGTTTGATGTTTCAATGTTCGTTTCGAAGTGTTCTTTTCGTGCGTGTATCTTACTGACTCAACTTTGTTTTTTTTTCATTCTTCTCTCCATCTTGATTCGTGCAATGTGTCTGAACGGGATAAGTTGGTGTTGCAGTGAAGTTTGGGCAATAGAGTGGCAACACGATCGAGTTGGGAGGGGATCATCATATCATCGGTTAGAGACAAAATTTGCAGTACTCTTTTGAAATTTTGGTGGGGTTCGATATGGAGTGGTGGGGTATGGGATGAGATGAGAGAATGTACCGGAGTAAAAAAAGGATTCTGCAACGACGTTGGTCTCGGTTTCTTCGCATGATTTTGTATTGCTATGTGCCCTGGCTGACCTGGGTGCTTGTGTTTTGTTTGTCAAACTTGAAGATTTAGTAGCCGTTCGTTCTGAGATGGGAAGCTGGCTTTCCTTGTTTCGCAGGTGTTTTTCTTTCTTTCTTGGTCATCGAAGTGTTATAGATTTTTTTCTTCTTAGAGGAAGATCGCTGTTGTCGATTATCCGGGGCCGCACTAGAAGGTAGGTATCTGCAAAATTAGGAATGCTTTGCTGGAAGTCGAGATCAGGTATTGATAGAGAAGTGTGTTCGATTTTAGTAATACAAGCGTACATGGAGGCCCAGGACTCCATGCATCGATATTGAGGGTTTATCATGCGTTCGTGTATGTATCACAACCCTGTATGCGCTTTACACATGGTAGAGTCGATGAGACGTTTGCCTAAATCATTCTAAAGGGTATCAACTTTACTTCCTTTACTAGAGATCAAACATACGCCACGAGAATGTAAAGCAGCTGTGCAAGCGAGAGATGTTGCAGCAATGAGAAATCGATATGTCACAAAAGCTCTAACGTCCGTCCCTACGTGCCGGGACGCACGGTGTAGCAGGACACTGTCTCTTCCGGACTATCTGCAACATACTTATATATAGATAAGCACAGTGCGCATCTACTCTATAGCTCTTACTCTCTTGGCTTGTTAGCCTCTAATGCTAAAAAAACGTATCGTTGACCGTACTATCGCTCGCGCTATTAATGTGAGACGTTGAAAGGAGATCAGGCACGGGTAGAGTATAACAAGAGCAATGAGAGCTTAACTATCTGTATTTAACATAGACGAACAGCTACTAAACTAAGGTATTGTTTACAGTGCTTTTACATTTCTATAGTAATAAGTTATACATAATCAAGAAGGGCTGGAAAAGCCGGTCACCAAATATTATAAGGCATGTAAAGCAAAGAGCGCATGCTTAGGACAAGCGGAGAACCAAGGAGCGCTTTGTATTTGATATTGCAGGTGGTGGTAAGGCTGAGAGGGCGTCGTGCGTCACACAAATTACAAGATACGCGTGCCAGATGGATGTGATTGGATGCAGTGCAGAACTCGCATTATTGTTCTTGGCTCGGCGGGTGGGGGTACTACTAGCGAGCGCAGTGCGCTTCTCATTGGCCAGCGCACAATACTACTATCAGCTATACACTGGACTTTGGCAAGCCAGCAAATCAGAAACATACGGCTGCAACGGCCCGTCGACTAGCCTATACCTAGATGCTGGGGTAACATGTTTACTCGGTATTGCAAACAAGCCTCGTTCAACTTGATATAAGTGCAAGAATGCCTTCTTATTCAGCAATCTCGATTATCTTTCAAGACCAAGACCAACTTCAAATTCAAAAGATAGCCTTCCAACGTACGGATGCGTTTCTACTTCTCTCGTATTCCTGCTGCCAGACGTGGACCATTAGAGATTCTTCCTATCCCTCTTACTCTGATCAAGACTGTACCATTCCACCTCACGGAAGCAACGGACGGGCCTCACCGAACAGGATTATGCCGCGTGAGTTCCAAGTAGACATCTAGCCACGGACAATACCGATGTAAGTCCCCCGTCTCTGAGACCCATTGGCCTTGACCAGTTTACCCTGCATGGAGAGGATCCTGACTTAGTCGATGACAACACTACAGACGGTTCGTCAAATACCTGTTTCATTCTCTTTACTATTTAGCTGATGCAAACCTAGAAGATCAATGGAACGGCCTCTACATTGCGCATGCAATAGAAGAGCAGGGGGTCTTGCGCGAGTATAACTCTTGGGCTGGACCTAACATGTACCTCAACGAACAGCTGCGACCAGCACTCAACGACCGCAATATATATTCTTTTGCTCTCCATCAGCTGACATGTCCCCGCACTGCACGTGTGATAACCGACCCCGCTAGCATCTCTGTAAGCACGAATCAGCGGTCACGTAATCGGCACTCAACCAAGTAGGTGTTTTTAAAAACCAAAGAACAATACACCTAATCCACAGCTGGCATGGCACGCAGCCAACTCTTCTCAGTCCACCTTACTCCAGCAGTATCCCAACCTGATCATGTCACAATGTAAGGCATGCCACTTCCTGACATCGCAGTCCATCCAGGCAATGCAGCATACGGAGAGCAAGACGACGGCCAGGTCCGCAATACTAAAGCTATGGGCATCAAGGTGAAACATTTCGTTCCAAGAATCGGCTCCGTGCTAAGCAATGGCAAGTTGTGTTTGATGCTCAAGGGTGCGGAAGCCAGACCTTTGCTCGCAAGGCTGAGCTTAGTCGGCATTACTGTGGTACATGGTAGAAGTTTAGTTCGTAAGCACTAGCAAGGTGATGATACGGGCCGGGGTAGAAGAAAGAGCTATACTATAGAGAGAAGAAGCTATACCGTAAACGTCGTATCTTTGTGTATTGAATAATCCGAAGAAGGTCCTGATCTCCATTTTAGCGTCTCCATCGTACAAAACTTATGCCCTGTGCCGCATTACACAACTCTGCACTCCGCCAACGAACCGAACTTCTGGTGCTAAGTCCCAACTTGTCGACGTAGCGTGAATGGAGGGTGTAAAGCTTTTCAAAGGAGGGACGAATGGGTAGCTCACGTCCAATATGTGCACTTCGTACACGTTGGCGGCGCGCGCTGATGTCGCTAACTGCCCTCAGCCTGCTCAACCTCTACGACCACCCTTTCTGCTTCTGCAGTAAGCTACTGATCCTGCGAGACCTGGAGGACTCCACCAGAAGCAATATATCGACGCTGTCGGTTCTGCTTTTGTTGTTAGCGCTGACTTCTGCACGTAGCTTCGTATTCTCTTCTACAAGTATTATTGCTGATTACATTGCAATCTAACAGCCTTGGATAACTTGGCGAAGGAGCTGGTTTTGTTAGGCTCTGTGGTCCCCGTTGGAGCCGGTCTGATAAGAGACTGCTCTTCAATAGGTAGTAGCTTTTGGTTGGCAGAGGCTATCTCTGATCGTGGCTGGGTACCGTGGAGAAACGTCTGAAGTGTTGACTTTGGTACATTGTACGCTTTCGCGAGACTGTAGATAGATTGTTTTAGGTTGTTACGATACGATGCCATAGTAAGACTTATTCTGCCTTCACGAGAAGTCGGTATAAGCGTTGTTGGCGCGGCATATTGGTGGCTGTGTAGAGCGTTGGGTCAAGTTTGGTGGGGTGGCCAGCTTACTGACCCGGCCAGCTTACCGGTCTGGCCAGCTTACTGATCCCCCACGTTACTATACTAGGAAACCTTCGATAACGAGACTAAATTCGATAGAGAACTTCAATCTAGGCTACATAGCAATCTATATTAGGGTAGGCCAGTCGCCTAAGCGACAATCGGGCCGTATAGAAAGGAATCGAAGTGACGGACGAGAGATAAGCAATAGAGAGCTGCAGCCCATTATAGTTATGAATCACTGGTGTAGAGCGTCGAGCAAGGTTGTGGCGCACGCTAATTAAACCTAACTAGGCATAGCGGTGTACCAAAAGCAGTTAAAAAAACGCCACTCCTGGAACCGAGCGACTCCACTCACGGCTCGGGTCGACCGACAACGGCTTCGGAAATACTATAGGGTTTCTTACCATAAGATCACCGGAAAGATCTGTGTGATCTTGCCGTACACCTTAGCTGAACCTCATTAAGTGAATGTGCGTAGCTGCTAGTCTCAATCTATTCAGATCGCCTCCGCCCACGTGGCAATGCAATAGATTGTTTTGCCGCATATTTGCATATTTACGTAGATAAATGGCCCGAGCCTATACAACCTCTAGAAATCAGCTGAGAAAGAAATTGCTCAAGTACTAGTGTAACAAGCCTCCCAGTAAACGTATTAAAGGGTTTGCGACACAAAGAAATAGATCTACAGTCAACGATCATACAAACAATGACCCGGTTCGTAAGTACCGACAGTCAAGTGGTAAATTATCGTGGCACTATTCGGCGTGTGCCGTTAGCCAAATACGCCAGTTGCAAACTTTTCCGGGATGCTAACAGGTACGGTTCAAGGCCTGTCTCCAGCGTTATTATCAAAAGTGTTCACCTATCAACGAGTGCCAAATTCTTACTAACATCAATGTGTACAACACCTCGGCGATCATACAGTTTCAGAATTTCTCTAGCGATGCGCTCTAAACTTGCTGCATCTACGTCATGACCTCGATTGCCGTTAAGGAAGGGGTCAGTGGTCCAGATTGTAATACCTAGACGGTTAAAATAAGCGGCATAACATGGTGGACTAGTGCAGTCACCACCCTAGCTCGGACCGATCTGATATTCTAAACTACTTACAATACGGGCTGCTTACTCTGTATGTGCTACTACCTTTCTCTACAATAGGCTACGGTCCTCATCTCGATTTAGATCAGGCTTGCTTATGTCAGACCCATCAGAAGCAATATTTGCTGGCCTAAATTACATAGCCCCCTCCCCCAACTATACCTAAACGAGTCCCCAAAGCGTTTCAGAACCAGTGAGGCGAAGATATGTACTCATGTATCGATCGTGCTATAGTTGCCGGGACTTCTGCATAAGCGGAAAATTCCCCATGTAGTTAGACTCGCCTAGACAATTCATGCATGAACCCTCTACCTCAGTAAACCCGCTAGCCCATCATCGGTCTTTTGATGAGCAAGAATTGATCAAACGACCTTGATACCCCACCTCTTGCTCACCAGGTTGTTGTGATCGAGGTCGAGCTCTTTGCGTAACAGATTTGACACAAGAAAGTGGCTTGCAATCCCTTGCGTAGCATTTATATATCCAAGAGCTCTACTCATGTCATGGGTTTCAAGCAGTAGGCTCGATTTCGTTTCAAACTTTCACACTGCCAGCTTCCAACACCAATATGGATATGCTATACCTACCAGTGTTCCAATTTCCTACATGGAGTCACTTGACAGTAAATGCTGCAAGCAGCTTTTCGGTTTTTCTATTGATACTTCTCTGCTACAAAGGCCTCGTAGCTAGACTGCTGGTGGGTTTCTAATCTTCTCTCTCTCCTTCCTTTCAAATCCCTAAACTTGTCCATCGAAACTAACCTCGTCATATCAGCCTTCACTATGGGGTTTCTTAGAATTCATTTTACGACCTGTCACTAGACGCTATCAGGCATGGGCATACCTAGTTCGGGGCCCTAAAATGATCCAAGAGGCGTTCAACAAGGCAGATGGCAAGCCGTTCGAGCTATTCGCTCCTGACAGTCGATATGTCTATGTATCCGATCCTCAACAGATTCAGGAGATTGATCGTGCTTCTGGTACAATTTTGTCGCTCTACGCAGCGTCGAGACAGGTATATTCAACCTTTTGCTCTAGGTTTATTCTTATTTATGCTAATAAGACGTAGATACTGCAACCTATGTACACCATGTGAGTAGTCTTGAAACTCCACCACCCTTTATACTCATCACCGCAAGATCTAACATGATTTTTTTATTGCCCAACTTTATCTAAGGATAAGATATTATCTTATACAATTTACTAACATACGACAGGCACGGCTTTAATCATTTCGACGCGCGCGGAACGGAAGAAGCGGGATTTATCCGCGCTCTTCGCACCTTGTTGATTAATAACCTACCCAAAATCCTGCCTGACCTCAATTACATTATCCGCACTAGGTTCCAGGAGCTACACGCTGAGCATCCAGTCATTGATGGTACTTTTTTGCATTAAATTACTAATCATCTTGGAAGCAGCTAACATTGAGGCGTAGATAAAAAGCAGTCAGCTATTTTGCCTATGATTCTGAAGCTTGTTGTATTAGCCAACGCCCTGGTCTTTTTTGGAAAAGATCTAGGTATGTATTGATACTTGTCTAATACTTTGCCCTCTATAAAAATAGCTTATGTTGAGTAGCGAAGGATGAGCAATTTATGGTCCACGCACTGGCATATATCGAGGAAACGATGATATGTGCCGAAGTTCTTCGTCTCGTGCCCAGCTTTCTGAAACCGTAAGTATATCGCATTGGCAATATTCTCTTGCTTAAACTCACTCAATATAGTATCATCGGTAATATCATTGCTCGCAGACTGAAGTCCCACACTGTCATCTATAATATGATGCTGCCCATCGTTCAGGAGCGATGCCTTGAGCGCGACGCAGCCAAGTTAGGTCAGAAGGCCCCAGAATACGTATGTCCTGCTTTAGACAGCTCTGTATCCCTAGAATAACGCAAAGCTAACACAGATATCTAGGTCGACTGCATCCAATGGCTTATGGATACTTCGCCTAAGAACGCACTAAAAACTCCTGAACGCATAGTACACGAACTCATGGCTATCTGGTTCGGCTCTGTTCATCCCGTTGCTGTCACTGTAACAGTTGCTATCGAGGACCTCTGTTTACACCCCGAGTACGTTGAGCCGCTCCGCGCGGAATGCACAGCTCAATACGCCGATTTTGAGCGCACTGGAACCGGTCTTGCTCTTCTTGACAGCTTTATCAAGGAATCTGCCCGCATAACACCTGTCGAGTCACGTAAGTCAACAATTCTTACTTTCCATGCTGTATTGCGACAGAATCATTGTGTGACATGCTGACGTGAAGTACGCAACAGAAAGCACTCGCCGCTCAGCGCTGGAGCCTTTTACTCTCAAAGACGGGACTCACGTCGACGTTGGCGATTGGATCTGCACGCCTGCCCACGCTGTTATGATGAACCCGGTTGACTACCCTAAGCCAGATACCTTCAGTGGTTTCCGCTTTGCGAATCCAGAATTAGTAAAGAGCCTTGAGAATGGCGATAGCTTATCCAATATCTTGCAAAAGCAGCCGACTAAATTGACTGATGTGGGCATCACGTACCATGTCTGGGGCACTGGCAGAACAACTTGGTAAGCTTCTTTGTCACCCTTCGTATCTCTACGCAACTTTCAAAGATGGGGATTGCTAATACTATATTATAGCCCCGGCCGATTCTATGCCTCGGTACTCATGAAGACTATTCTGGGCCAGATTCTTCTCAACTACAACTTTGAGCTTATGAACCCCAAGGCCAAGCGCGTATTCTCCTGGCGGTCGGCGATCGTGCCAAATCCTAGCACGAAGGTTGTATTTACTCCAATTCGGGGAGATTGTTGAAAGCGATAAAATGCATATACATGGAGTTTGATTAGGAGAATACAACACCAGTTTTCGAAAATCTTAGAATAAGCTCGAAATCTCGCATTCTGGGGCAATCCGCCTACAACGAATCTTTTTGCAAACTACTCTCAAGCCACGCAGCCTCCGCGCTGTGTGGAGATACGCGTGGTTGGACACTTTGAGTTGGCTGCGGAAATTTTTCCTCAAGATTAAATTTGTATTTACCAGCGTGAAATACATCACAGTATTGTATTCTTTGAGGCATATATATGTGTGAAAGGGGGGGGCTGCGCTTCAACTAAATATATTACTCGATCTATCATCTATCGACGCCGTCGTTTCTTACGCCGGCCAAGGCTTTTCCACGCTCGATAAGTACGTTCTAAGCGTTAACTTGTGCGAATCTCTTAGTATAGAAAGCTTCTATATCTCTGAAGTGATAGTTTCAAGCCATAGTTGGTGTGGAAGAAGCGAAAAGTCCTTGCGTAATAAGAGCTATATTCCGCGCCTCCACTAGTTGTAAGCGAGGATAAACGAAGAGATGTTGGAGAAGGTAGAGGTGCAGGTGCTAGAACTGACACTGATATACAGGTGGTTAAAGGGCCCGCGCCTGGTATAGATGTAAGGATTAACATAGTGACTAAGGTGCTGACTTGCTGTAGAGTCTCGGCTAGTGTTTGGTCCTAGGGTTCATAGTAAGGCTGATAGCGAGGGATACAAGGTGGCATGGGTCGTTCGAAAGTGTCACGTTGTACCGTGCGTCCCGGCACGTAGGGATAGACGTCATGGAAGTAGTATGCCGCAAAAGGCTGCCCTTCCGATCTGCTCGATTGAGCATGATATTGCTTGAAGCCAAGTGATATAGTTCTGATTCTTGCGAACCTAGCGCCAAAGTAGTGTTCAATGTGGCATTGACGTTGAAACAGGGTTGGAATTCGCAATGCGATGAACGAATGTACTTGAACCGGATGTTCGGCATAGACCCCGCATTGATTGTGTAATATCGGCTGAGGCCTAGGACAGTCGCGCGTATGTAACTGCACAGTGGTCGTCGATTTAGTCTTCACTGACTCCGTCACTTGATTGGATGAAGCACGACTAGCCAAGCAACCCAGGCCGCCAGCGAATAACCAAGCAATGGTTAAGCATAGGTCAAGCCATGCATCTCGGCTCGTAAGAAAACAAAAACTATGTTCATCGGGACGGGCTGCTGAGGCTGTACACCATGCGGATTCCGACCAGTAGCCGCTGCCCACGTGCAACATGGGTCGCATCAGGCGCCCGAGATGCAAAGGGTCCATTCTCCGGCGGCTGGGGACAAAGTTAAAAAATGTGGGATGATGCTGAGTGGTTGTCGGGGTAAGGAAGAGAAGATGGTGCCATGCAAACACTAATCAATGTGTAGGAGAGTGCATGGGAGGCGAGGAGCTTGTGCAATTGGCCCAGCCTCGTCCCTCGTCGCCAGTCATCAACCACAGCCAGACAGTGCCTCACATGGCAACACATGCGACGCGATCTACATCTTCTACCCGCCAGCCCCAGTTCGCGCCCAAAAGGTGCACGGCTGGCGCCCCAATTTGTGAGCAGTGCCACGCGCTAGGCTCAGGAATTTATCAAAACGTAACGGTTCGGGGGTTTCGCTTCGGACGGGCACGTTTTGAAACGGACGAGCGCCGTCATCTCACCATTGTTTTAGGCATGAGCCAAGAAACATCACACCAACACCATTACACATCTGACACAACTGACAAGCCATGGCAGCCCTCACCATGCCATGTTTGCCTGGCTGCTTTGCAATTGTTGCTGGCTGAGCCGCCAAAGGCGCAGGCCTGCGCGCGCACATCACACTTGCAACCCCACTGGTGGCTCGCCATCTGCCCCAGGATAAGTCAGCATCCTTGCTGATGGTGGCGCTTTTTCTTGCTAATATTAGGCAGTAGTTGATATGTGGCACGCCCAAGGTGTCGAGGGTTTGCAATAGGCCTAAACATGTCCTACCCAAGTCGGGAAAGACGACTCAGCCGCACACGGTGCTTGCTCGGAATGTATAACACAGTGCTGCAACGCCAGATGCCCATTGCTACTACTCCTGCTTCTTCACTCGTGATTGATTGTTCCTGTGGAATTTGACTGAAATGGGCGTTATACAATACCTTCGTCGCACAAGACCCGCGTCACAACCGTCGACCACCACATCGTTGACAGCATGCTGGCCGCTTTTTGCCATCTCTTTCCTACTCTCTGCACTGTCCATTACTAACCTGGGGCTGTTGAGCTCCATGGTTGCATGGCTACTCCGACAAAAACACAACGTGCATACGTATCAAGTCGACTGGCCTGGAAACGAAACAAAATTAAACGTGGAGCCAAAGCATCTATGGGTGGACCATGGCCATGAGAGCAACGGTGCGGCGGCGTATGGATTCTTCGTGGGCCTCTTTGGCATGGTCACTGCATGGAGGATGCGGAATGCTCAACGGGTAGGTTCAATCCATGTGCCTTGTCAAGTGGCATTCAGTATACTGACGATCATGAGCAGCGCCTAAAGAGTCTTACTGCACTCGCCGTCTTGCTCTTTCTCGCGGTTTTGTTCACCCTGTCGTGCTTCATCTTTGCCTTTGTGGTGACGTATCAGACGACAGACCAGTACATCCGCGAGCCTGTCGCCGTTAACACGGTCGGGATGAACTACCCAGAGTTTCGTTGGACACCTGAGACTTGGTTCAAGGCTGTACGGGATCTCCCTCTTGCGGACCAGTCTACGCGCAACGAGATCGAGGACAGGATCAGAACCATGGTGGCATGGCGGTGGATGCTGCTTGTAATATTCCTCGTCGATGTCGCCGCATTTAGCATAACAGCAATGGCTTGGTGGAAGCAGCGGAGGGGTGTGGCAGCGCGGCCAGGGTCTAGAGATTCTACTGAGAAGTAGGAGCGCGTATTTGGAATCAGGTTTTTGAAGGATACCCATGCAGAACGCGGAACGTGGAACGAATATACTACTATGTTGGTCATTCCCCTGGCCATTCTCACATGCAAAACACATATGTACACATGACTACATATACTAGCCCGAAGAACCTTGCACCGCTTGGAGGGCGGGCAGAACGCGTGACACACTCACGCCCCAGGCCAACGGCACATGGGGTCGACTCGGTGCTTATATGTGGGATTCCCCAGTCGGACTTTGCCATGTCTTTACAGCAGCGTTGAGTGGTGCAAGGTCTGAACTGAGACCTGGCAACCCCACAAACGCTTAGCGAGAAGTGGTACGTACCCAGTCCAGTCCAGTGCGAGACCTCGGCGCATCACCGCTACCGCCCATCACGAAAAAAAAACCCTTGGGCCCCGCCGATTCACCACGAGTCCGTCCTGCTCTCGCGACCACGTCGCCAGTTTCCGCCATGAGCTGGCTTCTCTACCTCGCCATGCCGCCTGTGCTCATTTTGGCCATGCGGCTGCTGTCGCTCGTCCTGCCCGCGAAGCCCGCGCAGCTGCTCTCGTACTACGCTTTCGCAGCCAGCTCCTTCATCCTCATGGGCTTCTGTGCCTTGTACGGTACCCTCGTAGCCATACCCCTGCGCCTCATTGGATACGGAGGTCTCATCCAATGGTCGGTCGGACGGGCATTCAAGTGGTGCATGTGGTACGGAACCGGTGTGACATTTAGGATCACAGGCAGCATGAAGAAGGAGGGTGGTGTTAGCGGCGAGGATGCGCTCAAGGACCGGCCCGCCGTGTTTGTGGGCAACCATCAGACGTAAGTTTTTGCCGCGATTAGGAGAAAAGTAAACACAGTGGCAGAGGTGGTGCTAACGCCTAATGTAGCGAACTCGACGTTCTCATGCTGGGCTGCATGTTCCCCAAGTACACATCTGTCACGGCTAAGAAGTCACTCAAGTACACGCCACTTCTGGGCTGGTTCATGGCGCTGTCCAAGACCGTCTTCATCGACCGTGCAAACCGCACCACCGCGCGCGCCGCATTCGACACGGCCGCTCAAACCATGCAGTCGACACGCCAATCCGTCTTCATTTTCCCCGAGGGCACTCGCTCCTACGCCTCCACCCCCGACCTCCTCCCCTTCAAGAAGGGCGCCTTCCATCTCGCCGTACAAGCACAAGTCCCCATCGTACCGGTCGTCTGCGCAAACTACTCGCACGTACTGAACGTGAAGGAACAGAAGTTTCAGCCGGGTGTGGTCGATGTGACTGTCCTCCCGCCGATACAGACAAAGGGACTGACTGCTGAGCACGTGGATGATCTGGTCAAGAGAACAAGAGATGCCATGATGGAGGAGCTGATCCGTCTGAGCCACATTTCTGGTGCTGGCAAAGGTGAACCCCTCCCAAGAAGCAGCGGAATAGACCAGACTCGCGGTGAGTTGAGGAAAAGGAATTAAGGTGGCGTCATCGCTTAAGCCTTCACTGGTTGGGACACCAAAGAGGCGTTAATGGTGTGCAAAAAAAAAAGGCCTGGAATTACCGCAATGGTTGCTCGACATTCAACAGGCTAAACATGAGGCTGAGTGCATACGGCGCGTGTGGCGTTCAGTGGTTACGGTTTTGGGTTTCATCACTGCATATTGATATCCTAGAGAAGAGGCATGTTCATTCTCGGGTTGGCGTATATATATATCTTCGTGCTCTCTATTCAGCAAATGCAAAAAAATATTCTAATTCAACATCCCACGTTTATGCAGTAAGGCCGTATTAGATTTCCTGATTCGGAGGACGACTTGTAGGATTTACGTCACGCTAATAGACGCGTGAAAAGGCAGTAGAAATCGGTACAAGTGATGTATGGATAGTTGCATACACGCGTCTAGAGAACATTGTGTTAACAGGAAGAAGAGGATATGGGCATCGTCAATGGTGCAGATCGGCGCACCCTCTTTTGCTTCGCGTAATAAGAGACCGACCTCGGTGCGAGTTGTTGTTACCCCACGATTATACCCCTCCCTGCTAGTTACCCAATGCGGCATTCCGACATGCACG